TTGTACGAGAATTAATATCACGCTTGCAGTACAGGAATATGAAGCAGAATTTGCATTTGACAATAGTCAAATTGACAATACTGATAACTTACATGAGGTGAGACCGTATCTAAACTTACTAAATATCACCACCTTTTACTACTGGAAATATAAAGTCTCTTTTAGATTTCAGACTAGAGAATGCATTATTCCTTTTGCAAACTCCTGTTGAGAGTGTAGAATTAGCCAGAAATAGATCAGCAACAGGAAGACCTAGTAAATTCCGGATTCAAAAACCATTGCATGGAGATGGGAGAACATTTTATCGTAAAGTCCGTTGATAACAAAAGACTTGTTGTTGTAAAGAGTGCCATAGCCAGACTGTTTATAGGATGCAAAGTATGTAATGTAGCTTTACATCATGATTGTAATCAAGCTTTTCATGCTTGAATCTTTCAAATGAAATAATCTGTATTTGTAAAAGAAATACAATAGATATTTTAATATTAAATTAATTACAAGTAACGTGATTTGTAGATTTATAAAACGTTATACAGCTAAAAAGTAATCCTGCGCTCCACTCAAAAGAAACATCACACGAGTACAATCCTACTCACTAAACATCCGTAGTCTTATTCCGCTGACGTTGCGCGAACGCAACACTCGCTTTTTCCACAGGTAAGAGCATTTTTTAAATTTTCAATGTAAATTTCTGTTATAAATGCTTAATTTAATATTTATTATTATTTTCATGAGAAAAGAAACATTCCTTGTAGTTTTGGCGGTTAATGGGTTAACCACTAAATTATCTTTAATAGTACTCACACTTTAATAGTAAACATATGTTAGGCTTAAATTGTTATTATTATTATTATTATTATTTTACATTTTTTCTTCTTTCGGATTTTTATTAAATTATGAAATTTATACTATCAATTTTTATGATTGCTTAAACACATTTATATTTTTATATATGGTGCTCGATAAAAATTATCTTGTGTTTGTTTATTAATTAATTTTGTACTTATTTTTATTCTCAAAATAAATTTTGGTTTCTTGGTTTATTGTTTACTGTGTTGTACAGTCATACTTTGCTTGCAATATACAATATTACAAGTTTTTATTCGGAGATACAATTCTTATTTATTTTTAATTATTCTTTAACTATATTGTTTTTCTTAGTTTTGACTATATTCCATTTCTTGATTTACTGTACATTTAAATTTATGCAAAGTGCTTTTTCGATTCTTGGCCAACGGGATTAGTCAATAAATTGCAGACTAAAATTTAATGTATTCATTCATATTTTTTATTTAAATATTAAAATTACTGATTAAGCATTTGTTATCCAGAAACAGGCTTATTTCCTTTGACATTTCTCGAAACATGAACCATCTGATGAAGATGCCCCGAGAAACGTAATTCATTGATGTTCCCCTAAATCTTCCGTTTTCGTACTTAAATTTTATTTATTTATTTATTTATTTTTTATTTTTTATTTTCATTTCTCGAGTTTTTGAAATGATTATTTATTCGAGTATCGTGTTTGTTCAGTTTTGGATAATTTGATAGTTTGGCAAAAATAACCCTGTTTTGGTTTTAAATTTCATTTAAGTCTACCACAAAATTATTAAATTTTTAGTTTTTTTTTTTTTTTTAAATTTGCTTGAATATGTGCTGTGACTGTGCCCCCTTTCTGCATTTTTACAGTTTCATAGCAGTTCTTCTCCTCATTTTGTCATTATGAAAAACTTAAGTTTATTTAATTTTTTTCAAAATATGTATATAAATGTAAGATATAAAATATGGAAACAAACTATTAATTTGGATCTGGTAATAGTCCCTTTTTCCTTCATTCTAATTTGGCTGCTTCCTCTTTCTCTCCTAAAAATAGTAACTACTTACAATATATGAAACTAAAGTACGTCATTTAAAAATTAACAGCATGTTGCTTTCGTATTTGACCCTGCATTGTGGACACCTTTTATACAATCACAGATCAAGATACCTTTTGGCTTCTCAATGCGTACGAAATTTCCTCGCTGTTGCTAACGTACTTCGCTCATTTCTCTATGACGTCCATGGTGTAAGGTTTTTTGGAAGCAGTAAAGATGAAAAATTAGCAAACGCTTTCGCCGGAAATCAAACCACGGACCTCCGGAATACCGACTCAGCGTGCAGAACCACTACATCACGAAGGCACGTTAAGAAAGTTGCAGAAATACCTTACAATCGTCCAGAAATAAAATTATGAGATGTATCTACCATTACGTCTGTCTGAAGTGTCATTTATACCAAACAATAAATCTACTTCCAATCCATTATTAACTTTAATTTAACAATATCTCTTTAAATTTTCTTCATTTTAATTTGGCTACGAACCTTTCCTGGAATCTAAAATACGTCATGTTCAAAGCTAATTCGCATGTCATCTTATTAATCCTGTAATATGGTAAGTTATTGTTCAATCGCAGTCCAAAACAAAAACCAACCATATAGGTAGATACCTCTTATTGATATGAGCCCTCACGTTGTCTTGCCTTCCACTCACTACGCTAAGATATACTGGTATATCGCACTGTTCTCTATGCTGTCCATTGCCTAAAAAATGTGATATACTACGAAATATCATGGGGTGATTTTCGCACCCCTTGTGACGTTTAAAGTAAGTTATGTATTCAATAATCACACGCTGTAACTGAAGATTTCATTAGGCATTTTAGTCGATCTTATTCTGCATATCAGTCGTTGCAATGATCATGAGATTTTTCTCCCCTGTTGTTCACATGTTTCTACTGGCATTGATATATAAAAGGATACTGCGAAAAATAAAGTTTTATCATCCATGCACGGTTGATAAAAAGCTAACTGATTTAAATCGAGTTCATATCAGTATAATAGGTGGATTTTTTCTCAGTAGTAAGCACGGGAAGGGTAGGAGTTGTTAAATAACGATAAACTCATTCACGTAGAGTATGTTAAGAAGCTAGATAATAATAGCAGATTTTAATTTTGACTACAATTGCAGTGTCGATAGCATCTGTAGCAATGAACTAAGGTTGGCATAAGAATTAAATTGCAAGGAAGAATATATTTGTAAACATTAAATTATGTAAAGGAGAAGGAGAAAATGATGAGGAAGACAGGGAGTATGAGGAATAAAAGTGAAACGCAGAATCATGACTCTAAGAAATTCGTAACTTTCATATGAAATTATATATGATAATTTTAAAGTGTTGTTTAGTTTTTTTCTGAAATATAAAAGCATACAAGGCTCTTATTTTAAGTAATCTCTACAGTTTTCGTCGCTATTTAATTGGTAATGTAGATAGATCGAAAAATACATTCAATGGACTTTGCATGCTGCAATTTCTATGGATGGTATCACAAAACATGAACAAGGAAGCTCTAAACATATAAATTCAATTATCCAAAAACGTCCTCTTATCCGGTATCAGTAAGAACCTCTTTTGCTGGTTAAGAGAGATTCTACTATAATCCGGAACAGTTCTCTGTAGCTCATTTGCGTAGCGCCCCCGTTTTTGTCAAAATTCTATAAATAGCATGCAAATTGAAGAGCTTCATGCTCACCTTGCGATGCACAATGCTCGAAATTCGTGCCTGATTTATCCAAGCAGAAAGCTTTTGCATACCGCTTGTAATAACTAAAAGGACAGGTGTCAGATTGCGTTTTGCGTCTGAGTAGTTTTGAAAAATTGGCGTCTTTGATAGAACGAACATGTCTAACGCAAATAAGAATATAAAGCGCGAAAAATTACTTTATATATAGTATATGTTTCTTCTCCTTGCTAGTTTGTGTATTCGCGATGCGAGTAAAAGTTTGGATTTAATTACGCCATCGACTGAATGCATCTTCTCGTCTGACGGGTAAGCGAAATTTAAGTTCTTTTGTTTGTTTGAATCGGACGTTGAAATGCTAAATTGAAATTTAAACTGTATTTTGGTTCCATAACTGCTCAATAGCATCATAGATACCACTCAATCCACTACTTCAAAGCACCGTTTCGCAGCACACTTCTAATACAAAATCTCCATATTTTTGTCTCTTCTATATTTTTGCAAGATACTTTTTATCACCCTAAATATTGACTAGGCAATTATGTCCCACGCTTTATGCTTAAGTAAGAAAAGCCAAACGAGCAAGGCAAGAACGCCAAATAAGCAAGAAGCAAGGCAAGAACACTCTATCAAGGCAAGAAGCCAAACAAGTAAGGCGAAAGAACAAAGTTCTTATTTTTCCTGATTTTAAGTTATACTTTATTCCGTTTGTCTTAACTTAATCTTTAGTTGCTTAATCGCCACACTGTAAGATTTTATCGTTATTATTATGAATTGTACCTTTATTTGATATTTTCATAGTCCTCACCAGAGTGTAAATTAGTGGTTTGTATTTAAACCGGAGGTTTGAATGGTTTAGAATTAAAGCTTCTGACAGCCTCGTATTATAGTCATGTACTATCGCCAGCTCTGCCAAATTTTATTCCGTCTTTAGCCTAGCCGACGTTTTTAGTAAGCACCACTAATTATCTTGCAGTTTAAGTAGCTTACTTTTTGTGTAATCTTCGGCACACACATTCCATTACAAAGTCTTGGTTGCATCAGTCCCTTCTACCTTCCTTTAAATTTTTGCCAGATAATTTTGAATCACCCTGCAAGTATTAATAAGCACCTAAAGATTAATTTAGATATAAATTTTTAGCACAAAGCAACTTATATAACTACTTCTTAATAAGTCTATTCAGTTAATTATTAACGTATTTATGTTGCAGGATGGGAATACTTAACTAATTTGCCCGATTCTTTTCTTATTATTTTTAATTTTTCATGTAAATAAAGTGTTATTGCCACCCTTAGATTGCCTTCTTTGATTAAAAATATCTGACTGAAAAAAAGGCACTATCTTAAATGCCAGGTATAAAGTGATTCAGAATCCCTAGGGAACTTTTGTTGATGTTGATTGATAAAACTCTAGTAATAAATTGCTGTATTGCTGTATGATTACATCAATTTCACTTCATAGGTCACGATTTCTTTCACTGGAATCCACCATTTATCTCTCAAAATGCTATTTTATGCTATGTAATCTGTTGTGGCAGTTGGTGAGTGTTTTGAAAATATTATGTTATAATATCAAATTTTATTGCTTTAAAAGCACATACATAAATTCCTTACTCTAACTTGTAAAAACAGAAACAGGAAAATCCTTTTTTTTTTTTTAATCCAAAGGGACTTTGTCCCTGAGGAACTATTGTTTTCGTTTTGCGATTTTGCGTGGATTCACTATAAATAACCGTTTCACTTTTTAAACTGCTGTCACCAAATATTATCGCCCTGTATTTTATTTGAAGAAATTAAATAATAAAGAATCTGCATAAATGTATGTATTTTTCTCGCATTGTGATAAAACAACGGTACCTAGAGCCATCCAATTTTGAATGACGCAATCCTACTGCGAATATGCGTAGCTGAAAGCCCAAATTTGAAATTTGGAATTTATTTTATTATCGATTTCATATTTTGCAAAAATTTAACGAATTTTTGATTAACAAACTCAACGATTTAAAAGCGAGCAATGATAACACTCTACCTGAGGGGGGGGAATAAAAACCTTTTTATCTCCAGCGCGCGGAACTGTGTATTGGAAAATTCTAAAGGATATGCTCATTTTAAAATTATTTTGCGGCATTTGCTATTGAACTGAATTTAATGGTTTTATGTGCAAAGAACATGATATTTAATAAATAGAGGTAACACACAATATGCTACAAAAACGTCCCTTTGAACGCTATTTAAAATCTGAAACTTTTCAGACCCCCCCCCTTTTTTTTGTGTTTTTGTTTTCCCATGGGTGTTTTTCCTCCCTTCCTTTTTTTTTTTTTTTTTTTTTTTTTTTTACTTTGAAACATTTTAAACATTTTTCCTTCTGAAATTCTTCTGCCTGAAAGGATTAAATTTTGCGCAGGTGTGTTTACTTTATCTATTTTTTGAAACTACGCAGGGTATAAAATTTACGATCATGAGTATTGTATATATTAAAAATTTAATACTATTTTCTTTATGATTTTGGAAATATTTTATTAATTTGTTTTTAATATTTTTAAAGTGAAATGTAAAATACTGCTTATTATTCTTAAATGATGTGTTTCTAAATACTATACAATATTTTAAAAAGTTTGGTGCCGTATGTTTTAATAAAAATGCACCAAACTAGCACACTGCCACACGGGCCCTCCTCCCGTGAGTTAGGATTTGTGAGCCTCCCAACAAGGGTTTTCTTTGAAACTGTATTTTCTAAAAAAAGTTTCCAATCAACGAATTATCTATATATATATATATTATTTAATTCATCATATTTCATGCGCATCTTTCTAGAAATAGATAGCCTTTTTTTCTGGAAATGTAGAGTTTAAGCACTGAATAAACGGTAACAGTGTTTCTCAACCACTGGCCCGATGATATACGCCAGTTCTAGAAACTTTTCTTCTGTTCTACGAAAGTTTTAAAATTTCAATGTCTTTACTGAGTTTATTTAAACGTCTGATTTGCTTTCCGCAAATACATATAGAGTGTGCATATACATCAAAAGAGAGTCTATTAATTAAAAGAGAGTCTATTATTACATCCTAATTTTAAATGATTGAATATTTTACATTTTGATGACCCTAGGTACTGTCGATTACTTCACAATGCGAGGAATATGCATACATACATGAAGTTTCTTCATTATTAAATGATTCAAAAATAATGCAGGATGATAAAGCGACCTAAAAGGGTAAAATAATAAATAAATTTGTGTTGGTTGGATTGAAATCCTTACAACATGCAGTGAAAAGTTACTATTGCAAAGTTAAACCTTACGTAATATAATCTTATGAGAAACGTTTCCAATGCATAAATTTAAAATAGGGTATAAAGGAAATAAAACTCTAACTGTACTTTATGACAGATCTTTAAATCTTTTTGCTGTGATTGCTTCCCCTTTCTATTCCAAAAGTACTTAGAAACAACAAATAAACAATGTAAACTTACGACAGTAACTTTTTTCCACATTTTTCAAAATTAACCCTTTTCAAATTATTCTTATGGAACGCAAATTCCGCATGTTCTTCAAGAAGGGTGGAACTGAAATCTTCTAGGCAATAACAATGATAAGTTTACAAACCAAAACACTTAACCCAGCAAAAGTAATATCACAATAATTTTATTAACATAACTTATGTGCGACATATGAAGCCACGGTACATCGAGCAGTGTCGTAACATGGAAAAGATAAATCTGAAATTTATATCTTATCGTTTACAAGCGTAGGTTCTTGTAACACTACTTGTAATTTCTGAGTTATTTCCAAGTACACAAATTACTTGTAATCTACGGAAACGTTAGAAAGTATTCAGACGTACCTCCAATTGAGATCTTTCAATCCAATGAGCTTTTTTGCAATTAATTATACCAAATTAGCTGTCTGCCAGCCCTGCGATGAAATACCGATAGGATCATTGCTTAATTTAAAATGTTTTTCCCTGCCAAACTCGTTTTGATGTTACTTTGGTAGGAGGTTGCACGGATTTTGGCGATTCTTTCTTCTGGCGAGCGATGCGACTTATGGTAAACCCATTGCTAGACAAGTTATTTATGGTAACCTATACTTTACTACCTCATTTTATTTTAGAAATATATATATATAAATATACTACCTCATTTTATTAAAAAAATAATGCATTTTATTATGCATAAATTCCGTGTTTTAAATACTATTTATGGCTTCTAAATATTAAAAATCAATTTAATTTTGCAATTTCATTTGAACACTTTTTTTATTTTTTATGATATTTTGTATAATTTATGCTGTGGCTGATGTAATCAATGACGTTCCTTGCTTTAAAAGTAATTGGTTTTAATATCTATAATCTAATGTTTTAAACTTTATTTATGGCTGTTAAATATTAAAATACAATTTAATTTTGCATTTTTTAAAAAATGATTTTATTATGTATGATTATGTAGATAATTTTAATTCTATTCGTGATGTAATCAGCTCCCTGATTGGTTACATGATATTTCGCATTAACCAGCTGTAATCAGCTCCTTAATTGGTTACTGAATATCTGTGCATTACCGCGCCATTTTAAAATTTTATCTCTTTGGATTCTTATTATTTATCTCTTTGAATTCCTCAGATTACATTTTTCAAATTTTTTCCCTTAGATTACATTTTTTAAGTTATATTACATTTTTCAAATGCTTTTCACGGATATCTAAATTACGATTCCGATTATTTTTGTGGTGTTTATCAATATACGACAGGTTAAATACTCCAATGTAAGTACATATTTTTCTTTTACTTTATAATTGTATTCTTGAATTTTTATTAAAAAAAATAATACACTGTTTTCAAAAATTGCCGAGATATTTATCGCCACATATGTTGTAATGTTAAATGATTATGTCCTATAAAACTTATTTTAAATCTTTTAAACGTTGGTATGATGTTTTCAATTCGATATCCAGTTTAAGTAATATTTTAATCCAATTAAACGTTGGCGCAATGTTTTTATAGCGGCGTTTTTATTCTATTTCTTTGCTATATGAAAGTAATAATTTAACCTTCCTTTTATATTTTATACTCATAGTAAATGTATTTATTTACATTTGCCTGCCATCTTAAAAAAACGACATTTTCAACAAAAAATAATCCATTATTTTTAACGATATTTATTTTTTTTAAGTTTCGAATACTTTACTATGCGTAAAATAGGTAAAAACAGCGTTTTTCAAGATGGCTGACGATTGTAAAAACCGCGCCAACAAATGCGCCAACGTAAATCGCCAAAATTCTGTGCAACCGTCAACCAAAGTAGCACCCTCGTGTGCAACCGTCAACCAAAGTAGCACCCTCGTTTTATTTCCCCAACTTGTTGTAACTCCTAAATGTAAAATTGAATGTAACTCCTAAATGTTGAATTCAAATTCATAGCGAGAACTCCGCTTATAGCCGTTAATTACTACGAGTAGTATATCATGGGTAAAGAAAACCTATGTATGATAGTCTAATATTGTGTTCTATTTTTGGAATCTAAAATATTACTTGTTTTCGAAAGTAACAATTTCATTACTAAAAATGTGGGTTTAAAAATAAGTATTTTTCTGATAAATTAAAATAATAATGTGTGGATTGTTTCTAGCATTATCGGCTGCATTTAGAAGGGACGAAACTTGTCCAATAGTACATGCTACCACGACTTGTTTTAATCTCGGTCGCAGAGGAGAAACGTTAGCGCTTGGATTTGACCTTAAACCGCTTGAAAACAATGAAGAAAACTTGAATAAACAATGCGAGTGAGTTTTTTACCTTTCCTTTCAACATCTAAATGTTAACAATAAAGAAGAAGTAATAAGAATTTAAATACTTATTAAGTATTGTTATGAATTTTGTATTTAAATAGATAATTTTAGTAGAATTATAATTAAAATTGTATTTCTCCCTGAAATGTAGTGCTAGACAAATTTTAAGAGAAAGCTATGCCGAAAGAGTAAGAATGCAACACAACGTGAATTTAACATTGAGTAAATGAACATCTCAGTAATTTGCATTGAAATTAAAAAATGTAATTGACCATTATGCTAGCCGTAATTCCATCCTTTTATTGCTTTCCAATAATTTCGATAAACAGAAAGTATTAGAAATATCTCGCGACCAGCTGAAAGCTATAAATAGCAGGAGAGAGAGCGTCTGAGTGCAGTTGCTTAGTTACTGTGTTGCGGGTTTTTTAGTTCTACATGCACTGAGATATGAGAGTTATCTTTCTTTTTAGATGCGCTTTGCATTGTTTGTAATTTAACGTTTTTAATATTCTGAAGTATAATTACTGATTATACCGCCCGATATTGTGAACACTTGTACGAATATCTCTGAGGAAAATTCAAGCGTTCTGATAAATTTCTTTTGATAAGAACAAGTTTCATTAATCTATTAATGGACTTATGCATTCTAACTGTTACGAGCCCGTACGCACGACAATTGTTATATTCAGTGGATGAAGCTGAAAACAGTGTTATGTAGGTAAAAGCACCGAATCAAATCGAACGCTTTACTTTACAGATAAGCGCTGCCACCTGGGTGTTTTTAGGTTAAAATATCTTTTTCAAGCAAAGCTCTGCCAAAGTGAAATTTATTTTGGCCCATGGCTAAATTTTCGTGCAGCTCTATGCTATTTGGGCTATTTGTCCGTGCGGCATAGGGCCGCACGGACAAAGCTCCAAATATAAACGCTGAAAAAAGTTAGATAGAAGGCTCCAAAAGGGTACGCCTTCCAATTGCAGTTATAGAAGAGTATTCTTCTTTTGAAGAATACTCGTCTTTTGAAGGTTCTTTTGAAGTTTGGGATAAATCAATCATAATTCTTTTGAAGTTTGGGATAAATCAAGCCTTCCAATTGCAGTTATAGAAGAGTATTCTTCTTTTGAAGAATACTTTTGAAGGTTCTTTTGAAGTTTGGGATAAATCAATCATAATTCTTTTGAAGTTTGGGATAAATCAATCATAATAATTCAATATAATCATAATATATTCAATATGGGATAAATCAATCATAGTAATTCTAATATTTTCTTAATTTGAATTGTCCTCTCTTTTGAACGGTTACAGGCAAAATCACAATAAAGGAATCAAGGAAAGAAGAAAACATTGCTGTTCATAACATCGTAGGAGAAGAGAAGCAAGAAGGAATGTAAAATTATATTTGTGGTCTCAAAATTCTATTAACTGCTACATATATATTCTTCACATTTTCAGATTCTGAAGGCTTAAGTTTCCTTCTCGCATTTTCAGTAAATTAGTTTATGGAGTTTGGCCCTCTTAGGTAACATAAACTAGATACAAAAACTCTAAACGACTATCTGTGAATTAACACTATGTCTTGTAAGTACCACATAGACAGGGAAGAGGTGTAAAAGATCCGTTTATTAATTCAAATAAATTTTAATATTCGACACCAACTCGCGCTTACAGAAGACAAAAATTATGGTTTAAAATAAAGCTGTTGAAAATAAGTTAGCCTAAGCCCAAACTGGTTCTGACCTAAGATCGGCGTAAGCAAGCCTAATAGCAAGAATAACTCAATGGCACAGAATACAAATCGCAAAAGAATCAATCGTGCTTTTCTGGCAGGCAAAACACCCCCTGGTTCTGCCCTCTAAAAGCCTTCCATTAAATAGTCTCTTCTTTCTGTGCTGTTGTTGTGATTTATCTCACTTGCCTGACAGTAATATTCATCGTGGCAAGGAGAGCAAGATTGCGCCTGTACTAGTTGGCAAGAGCTTTCAGCACTGTTTCGATGACAGTATGACTTCGCTCCGTTCCGCCCCCACTTTTGATGTAGAGCACCCTTATCTATGGTCTCCATTAAAATTGGGGGGTATCCCACCTCTGTTCCCCTAACACAACCTCTCGAGAAGATTTTCGGCTTGCCGCATATTTAGAGTGCCCCTGTACCGCACATTTACAGACATCCATGCCTTTATTCAACTAGTTTTTTGCAATATCAAAATATTGTCATAAAATGGAAGACTAAAAAATTTGCTTTTGATGTTTGTGATTCAAGTATACTGAAAAATTAAAGATGGGTCAGAATAAAGCCACATATTTTATCCTACTTTTCTTTTTCTAATATGTAATCTGTCTCTTCCAAAATACAGGTATACATTGCCATGGGCAAAATGTTTGGTCGACAAAGGAACTAGTTGTCCAAATTACACAGAAAACATTTATTACCAGATGTTCAAAGATTACTATTCCACATGTACTAAAGTTTGTGACAAGGATAACGAATTTAGAAGATGTAAGTTAAATTATTTTATAATTATTATAATTTTCGTTTTAAATTCAGATTTTTCACTTTAGTGTACGTTTTTTGCAAATTCTATATTTCTCACGAAACTTTTGGTGAGCCTAAACTGGTGTAATGCGAAAAAGCAAATATTATTCTTGGATGCAGAAAATGTACTTTAGCCTTACGAGTACCGGGAATTATATTAAAAACATTTAAATATACTTACAAGAACTAAAGTAATACTAACATAAAGTATTTCCAAGCGTGATGCTATAAATGCACAGAAGATAGGCCTCCAATATGAATTTTACAATTATTCTTAGGTATCCATGCATATTTTAGAATTGTCTTCTATATGATTAAGTTTATAGAATTTTACTCCAAGTAGAAAGTACTCAGTGATACCCAAATTCGTGCATTTACTTAAACCTTGCTTTACTTATGTATTTTACTTATTATTATTTGTTGCTTTACTTATTTATTCTACTTGTTATTATTTATTGCTTTACTTATTTATTCTACAGTACTTATTATTATTTATTGCTTTACTTATTTATTTTGCAGTACTTATTATTATTTATTGCTTTACTTATTATTCTAATTATTATTATTTATTGCTTTTATTTATTCTAATTATTATTTTATTGCTTTACTTATTTATTCTACTTATTATTATTTATTGCTTTACTTATTTATTCTACTTATTATTATTTATTGCTTTACTTATTTATTCTATATGTCAATTAATCAAGCATTTTCATGAGTGTTTAACAGACATATAATATTAAAATGGGCATTTCGCCAAATTTAAAAGGTATTGATAAATACAAATAACTCTCGATTTATTGAGAGCACAATGGGGATTAGCTGGGCCATGTCTAAACGAAATTAAACGTGCTTGTTGTGAAACGATGGAAAATTTATTGTCACAAGCCTACAGGAAAAACAGTGAGAAGAAACCATGATGACAACAGTGACAGAAATTAATGTGACAATATGTTTACGAATTATTTTTGTTCACTATAATTCGTAAATTCGTTCGTTCGTTTACATAATCTGAGATATACATCCTGTCCACAAAACTCATTGCCCGGCCCTTTGTTTCCGCAACCGCTGGTTGTTAACATGCGATTTCAACTACAAAAATGTTTTAAGTTACGTAAATATTTATCACGTTTTCCCACTTTTAAATTTAAAAAAATTATTTTGTATGAAATAAGAAATTACACTTTCCTCCAGTCCTTAAAGAAAAATTTTATATTCGCTGTAAAATATTAAACACAAAACATTTGACTCCAGTAGGACAAGCACTGACCAAGATGCGTGGTAATAAAATCAGTACTCATATTTAGGGACCATATATAGATTAAAGCCCAAAATGTCTGCATTTGTACCAAAAAAAAAAATATCGCTTAAAGCAATTTTTTCATGCTAACAGATGACGTGACGGGCGTCTCTACGTAAATTATTATGAAATATATTGATCAATAATGTTTTTTCAACTTTTTAAAATTTTTACTTAAAAACCCATACACAGTTCATGTTCTGGGAAAAAAATGGTAGTTTTTTATAAGCACGTAGTTAACTTGTAATATTGTTTCCATTACCTAAAAGTGAAAAATAATTGTACATAAATAAATTTTGTGTAGGCAGATTATAGCTCTCAACTAATAAAATTTCAGAGAATATAAATAACGTATTTTTAGACTTTGAAAACATAGAAATTACCTACGCAAAGATCCTCTCGGCATATCAAAAGTGACAAAATTATTATTTAAGGTCATTAGTATATCACAAAAGAGTATCGTTGAATGGCAATTTAGGACGAAAATAAAACCAGACTCGAATTATTCACCTGTATTTATTAACTCACCCTCAGTGCAAATATAAAGCACATCAGATATTATAAAATTTGAAATTAAATGCATTTTTAGCAATTACATATTTTCCCCTAACTATTAGTATAGGGAATGGAGGCAAGTGTAAAAAAATATTCCAAATTACAAAATTAATTTTCTTAGTTTAATAGTACTAAAACATATATCTTTGCCTCATTTAAAATACTTTTGTAGCTGGAAGTATATGTCTAAGACCAAGGGCTGCGAAAATAAAGGCCGGGTAAAGACTTTTCTGAACACTGAGCCACTAAATTACGTCACAAGTTCAGCATCAAGGGAGCCATTGATATCGAAGAGAAAAATTATGTTCATTAAGTTTCGTGTTTATAATAATTAGAGTTGTAATTTTCATCATTACATTTAAAGTTTAAAACGTATTGTAATTATTTTCTCTATAAAATTCATCTTGTTATTTACCAGAAAAGAAAGTTTCAAAGTGAAAATACCACTGAACCGAAACGTCTACTTAATACACAAATTTTAATTAATACTGACCCGCAGCCGAAAAGACTGCCAATGCCTGATTTAAAGGGAATTTATATAAATATTCCAGGCGAATGCCTTTGAAATTCAAAATGATCTTCATGATTACGTGAGCTAAATGACAGTTATTTTCTGGAAACTAGTTGGATGATAAGGGATTTTACAAAACATGTCATTTTCTTATTACATCTGAGACCTCTTTCCTGTGAGTGAAATTGTTCATTGTTACGCAAATTTTTCACTATAAATCTGATATTATATAAATAACAAGAATAAGGTGTTTGGGAATAAAACATGCTTTTTATGTCTTAATGAACAAATGTTAAATTAAGAAAATGACAAATTAATGGAAATTCCCTTATCATCTAGTTAGTATTCAAAATGTAGTTTCAATAACCCCCCTCCTGTATATGGTCGATATCTTCTTGAGTTTGCAAGATACTCGCTGGAACGTTCTATATAAGTGCCTCTAAATTACGGAAGAAAAATGCTGATGCATTATTTCGCCCATGTGTTAAACTCTCATATATCATCAAATATTCATCATTTCCATTTGAAATTTGAGTTTAATATTTCTCTTGAATGCTCTCAAATTCTCCTGTAAGTTTTGCTAAGTGTCGTGAAAAATTCTGCATATTATAAACGAGAAAATTGGAATTTTTAAAGGAAACCTTGAAGATTCGTTAGCTTTATCGAAGATGGAAACATGAAAAATGTTTAATATCGGGATTAGAACTCTAGACTTTCCGTCTGCCATTCGAAGCTAATTACGCCTCGAAAACACATAGTAACGAGGGAGAATATACCTTACATTCTCCGCCACTTAAAATATGACTCAAAAAGCGGCGAAAGAGTCGCCAAGTCCTCGAAGTAATGAATTATCATCCACCCTATTTTAATTCTGTCGTCATCTGTAGCGTCATCATAGATTTTTTTCAGGTAGAAAACTTAAAAAAAAGTTGCAGTCCCCTCTCCGGTATTCCGGTATTCGAACTTTAATAGCTAGATGTTCTTCCAATTACGCAAATAGTTTGAACGCACATATTAAGGAGGGAAAAATATATTACAACTTACATATTTTTGTTAATGTAAATACTATTTTTACGAAAATGCATGCGATTGTTGCATGTATACAACATTTTGTGAACGTTGCGGATTATTCGATCGAATTTATGATAGCTAGCGATAAAAAATCATGTTTCTAAATAATTTTTCTAATGATCTTTTAAATGCACAGGCTAAATTTTCAACATAGAATTTGAGTTACGTTAACTGCAATTACAGAAATATTCGTCAACATTTCTCTAGAATTCTGTAAAAATTTTCTTTAATTTTAAATTCAGAATTGCCTGGATAGTTATAACTTATTTGATTACAAATGTATACATAAGCATAAGTACACATTATTCTTTTTTGTTAACTTCTATTTCAGGGTATTTAGAAAGTGCCAAATGTCTAAATGAGCAGAGGGAACAGTTGACTGAATGTGAAAACATACCCCACCTTCGTGAATCTTCAGAATTTGCAAGGAAATTGTGTTCGTACGTATGACTCGGTAACTTTAGTCATTTTAATAAAATTATTGCATATATAATGGTTGGAAACATACTTTCAAACAACAGGTAAAGAAATTAATAAAAATGAGGAAATGTTTATACTTTTAGGAAATAAATAGCAATATTAGTGGCAAACTTGCTGTTTGACTTCAGATGCGTTTATGAGGATCTGTGAGGTTTTATGCACCGTGTCCATGAAAGTCCTTATTCGGCCTTTGTTTTCGCAATAGTTGCCCTCCTAGATATATACTTCCAATGAAAAAACTGCTGTAAATGAAGCCAATATTCACGTTTTGCCATATTTAAATTTAAGTAGATTAATTTTGCAAAAGAATACGTTCTTCCAGTGTCTATACTAAGGAACTTTTTATGATTGTTATAAAAACTGAAACAGAGAAGCTTTGGCTGCTGTAAGACAAAAATTGACCAATATGTTTAACTTTAAAATTTGCGATATTTGACATCATTTTCAATTTACATTAAGCGCTAGGTGAATAAATAAATTACAGTTATTCAAGGCTGATTTTTTCTTTTAAATACCATTCAGTAACATATTGTATCGAAGATAACTTCCTCGTTATAAAAGTGATGTCTTAAACCTAAAACTCACATATTGTGAAAATGTCAGTTATTTGAAACTTTTTGTAACTGGAAGTATACGTCTGTGATTATAGTTATTTAATTATTTTTATTTCTCTTAATTTTCATTCATGGAAGTTTATTGAAAACTTTACTTTTCCTTTACAATATAAACTTCCTGAAAGACTGCTTTAAAATCTCGCAAAATATAATTTAAGTCTGTAATAAATTGTTCTTAAATTACTGAAGCCATGCAGTGTATTTCTTAGAATACGCTATATAATTTTTATTTTAATTAAACATATAAGTTAAATTTTTTTGGTTTTCATGATTACATTTTCCGTGCCTCTCTTTCATTAATTTCATTAATCCTAAAATAAATCATTCTAAGAACGTTCAAATTAATTCAAATTAAAATTGAAACTTTATATTACTTACAACTGAATATTTTGAAAAGCAAAATGTACAATAAGTCTTTTTCTGATGATATATTTGGAAACTTTTTTGTCTTTCTAGATCTCTAAAAAACTGGCTGCGGTGTGGCTATGAAAAGATCGAGGAGAAATGCGGAAGCAAAGCTCTGCTGGTAGCAAAGGAAATAATATCATTTAATTACAACTTTCTAGAAAACAGTTGTAAAAAATACCAACTTTCAAACATAAAAATGTTAAGAAGCATTTCTGCTACGCTTTATGAATGACTGAAAACACTCGATGATATTCAATAAATTTGTAAATCTTTGTTTTACATTATTTTCCTTGTAGATAATATACTCTTGTAGATAATATACTCTTTAATCGTAGCAATGACGATAATTTCTCATATGGACAGGTAAAAAGATGCGACGTCATTTCAGGCAGGGAAGCATAAGCCGCGCGGAGTTGCTTGCATGGCAGAAATCAGGGAAAAAGGGAAGCATAGTGCTCGTGACTCAGTATTTACACTTCGTAGGTGCAGAGAGTGTTCTAAACTATGATTGGTCGATATTAGTTTTAGTTACCTTTTTCAAGCAGTGTTATGTAATTTGGAATGATCTCGAATTTGCGAGAACAGATGAATTTAGGGTGGACAGCACCAAATTTAGAATGTTAATTTTGAAGTCACGAATTATTTTTTAAAGCAGCTATCGTATTTTATATATGTGTGTGTGTGTGTTATATCTTTCACACACACACACACATATATATATATATTATATATGATATTTACATTTGATATTAGGATTTAATTATTACCTCTTAAGAAAAATATTTCAAAATTATTGCAGCTTCAATTAATATGCAGCTCAATTGATTTAGACGTGTGAAATATAAAAATCAAATTGGGCTTAAAATTAGTTACTATAAAGTTTATCTGAACATTCTCATAAAACATTATAAAATTATACAAATGAATGAAATAGAAATGTTAAAAACATTTTATAACTTAAACAAAATGTAAAAATGTAAATTAAATTATTGTTTATTTGCCAAAATGCATTGACTTTTCAAAGTCATATAATTTTTCGTTAGCAGATTCACAGTAATTTGGTGATTATCGCGTTTTGTCACACTCGATCCTTGAATACAAACTTATAAGTTACTTTTGCTTTTTACAAAAAAATTAAGATAATTTAAAATTTAAATATGTATTTAATAATGATTGATTTTTCCGACGCGATAATGAGATATATTTATAATAATAGTGTAGAAAAAGGGAAAATTTAAGATAAAGGCAATTTAAGACAAAATAGTGCAATAAAATATGTGCAAAAACTTATGCACAAAGGAAGTAGAATATGAAAAAGGAAGTAGAATATGAAATACAAATATGAAAAGTCAAAAAAGATAACATACACTTAAATAAAAATGAAGGCCTAAAAATATTATGCATTTAATGCTCATGTTTTAGTTTCCAAACGAGCCATTTGTGAAATATTAAAAGTGCAAGGAAACCGATAAAAGTGATGCCTGGGTTTACGAAGAAACATTTTTGGATTAAGGAAACATTTTGGATTATTTTGAAATTTTTAGTGTTAAGGTGATTATTTGTTACAAATTTACTGTCAGAGTTAAAATAATCGAATCATAATATTCTCTGGCTAAAACTTAAGGCAAAAGGAAAGTAGTTAAGAAAAGCCGAAATTAAAGAAATTGTCATTATTTTTATTTACGTATGCAATGATTAAGCATCTACTACGTTAGACAAAAGGCATAAAGCATTTAACATAATTCCTTTCTTAATACTCAGGGTGATTAAAAATATGTGACAAAAATATAAAGATAGGCAAAGGACTTTAAGGAAATGTGTATCGATATTGTGCTTTGAGGTAGTAAGTTGACCGGTATCCAAGATGCTGATGAGCGGTAGGGAAAAGATTATGTTCATTTAAGATTATGTTCAGTTATGAGTGCCCGTGCGAAATTTAGCGGCCAGCATCGCTAAACGAACACCCAATTCACATACATGCGTTTTATTTATGCGGTTGAGCTAAAACGCAGCAGCTACTCATATGAGTTACAAAGAACTATTTTCAATTACCGACTTTGAGCTAGCTTCTCCTTTTCTCCCTGCAACCTCCTCCATAAAATATATATCGAGAAGTTCCGCATTTATGTAGTATTACATATCGCTCGGAACCCGAGCGGAGAATGATAATTTACGCCACGAAAACGCTTTTATTGACAGCTCGACAGCGTCCGGCATCACCATAATGCTCCATTTCGGCATACATATTCCATTGCAAAATTTACTTCTTTTGGTCCTTTCTATCTGCGTTTGAATTTTTGCCAGATGTGTTTCAATCTTCCTGTATGTATTAATGAGCACCTAAAGAATTGATTTAGACATGAATACTTAGCATACAATATCTAACACAATTACTTTCTTAACATATGCATGAAGTTAATTATGAACATGTTTATGCTGCAGGGACTGGAAAGGCAAGTATTTTACACAATACTTTTTTTATCATTTTAATTTAATTCTTTAAGTATAAACTGTTATTCTAGGACTCCTTTGTTTATTTAAAAATACCTGAAGGAAAACAGCACTATCTCATATTCCAGATATAAACTGATTCAGAATCCCCAGGGAACTATGCTGATGTTGATTATGCATCTCTTGATAAAATTCTAGTTATATTTCACTCTTTGATCCTTATTTCTCACTTCACAGTTTACGATTTCTCTCAATGAACACTGCCGGTTATCTCTCAAAATGTTATTTTGTGTTACATTAGCAATTATATCAGCTGGTAAGTGATACGTAAATATTATAACTATCTATTTTTTACTGTTTAAAAAATAATATTTATTATTATTTTTTATAACAGTATATGTATTTCTTACTAAACCTTGTAGAACAAAGGCGCTCGTTTTGTAAAAAAGGTGGAAAAAAGTTATACTACTGCCCAGTCTCTACACCTATAAAATTATTTCCTACTGTTTTAATTCAAGTTACATTTCAATAATTTAAATAACGTACTTTTAATTAAACTTTTAAAAATTTACGATTGGTAAATTGGAAACCTGTTTCAGTTAAATTATTTTCCAGTTACATTTAAATGTCAAATGAAGAAATGAATTTGGTGCACGCTTTTGGTGTGAAATCAACACACATACGTGCTCTTTACGGCAGAATAGTGTACAAACTGCTCCTAATAATTTTTGCATTAATCTACTTTGCACATAATATGGTCATCAAAGTAGGAATTTTTTTCTTTTCTTTGAATTGGGAATTTCATTTTCAACAGCTTCTCGAAAGTCATATATTTTCCAAAATCAATTTTAACACCATTGAGGGCTCCTCTGAAGTTTCTATCCATTCCATAATTTGGTTTGCTTGGGAAACAATTGTGAGCTCTCTGTTTAGGACCGCAATAAAATAGTGCTGTGATTATATAAGACAGGCCTCGGCATCTTTTGACCCGTGAATCCCCTAGATTACCATTTCATTTCAAGTGACCCACCTAAGTTACGAAAATAAAGTATAAAAGATAAAAATAAATTATAAAACATAAATAAGGAACGAGCAGTTGAAGAATACATAAAATTACATAAAAAATAACCTAAAATAAATAATAACAATGACATTTTTACTTGATTACAAACCAGCATGAATTTTAAAAATTGTAACAAAATTTCAAGGAGAAATCTATATGTGTGACTATGCTGATCCATAATCCATAATTAAAAAAATTGGCTTTGGTATTTTGTCTGCATTCAGTTCGACTTATAAATAAGAACAAATATTTTATCTTGCGAAATTTATTTTTACTAAGAACAGCAGCAGCTTAACTACAGAAGATACAGATGCTTGGATTCGTCTTGACGACTAACTAGAAGCCAGACTTGACTAAACTGGAGTCACAATTTTCAGAATTATGTAAGCCATTGAGATCGAAAAGGAAAATAAAGTTCAGTCAGTTATGTTTGTTTTTATAACAATCAGACTTGCAATTTTAATTTTTATGTTTTAAGTGTACTGTAATTATTTCATAATGAAATTTATCTTATTTTTCACTCAGAAAGACTGTTCAGAACTGAAAATACCACTGACCCAAAACGTCTTCTTAACACAAATATTTATTTTGATTCTAACCCAAATATGTTGCCAATGCTTAATAGTAAAATTTCTCTGAATACGTAACGATAAACCTTCTGTGAATACCTGAAGATCAAATTTCTCTGAACACGTGAAGTATTATATTAATTTCTCAGAATTTTGTGAAAGTAAAATTTCTTTAAATACTTTTCTAGTACATCTTTTACGTTCTTTTTTTGCTAAAATACTCATGATTTCACTTGTTTTAATAGCCACATCTAAAACGTGTGTTCAGAAGATAAAGCTCTCGAGGATTGTATTTGTGGCAATCTTCATGTATTGAAAGAGTCGTAGAAAATGCAATTGATGCAGTCTTAGACATTTCGCAAGTTAGTGTTTATCAGTCTTTCAGAATTTACTAAATATTAGATTGCGTGTTACATAAATAAGCGTATTACGTAAGGTTTCATTAAGCTAGCACAGATTTCCCACAAATACCTTAAGAAAGGATTATTTTCTTCATTTTAACGCCAGAATGCGCCTGGTACTTTATGCCATGGATTTATATACTTTAAATGCATTGGCTTAATTTCTTAAACATGTTTTAAGATCCCGTATATATATGTTATTATAGACATCACAAAAATACTTAAGGCAGTGTATATATGGGGTTTGACTTAAAAGTTTTAGCTCTTTACATCAATAAGTCTCTTCATGGTTACCTGGATAACTCTCCGATTTTAAAATTGCCTACTACTGGCTGAGTTAACAAGACCGCTGGCATGCTAGTAATTTGTATCATCTGCGTGATTTTTAGCATGTGTAACATGAGTACAAGTCCATTTTCCCTAGAAAGGTCATCCACGAATGCATCGTTTCCCTTAGGTAAATAGCCATAATGTACGTTGACATAATCAAATAAATAAACAAACATTTCAGAGTGTATTGAATTCGCTCTACGTACTGCAAATCGTGCCGCCTAGAATATTTTTGTGTTGTCTGTAAGAATGCATATATACGAGCATCTCAAAATATGCGCAAGAAATTTAAGCAATGTATTAAAAGTACATAAATTTAGATATAAAGTACCAGTCGCATTTTGAGATTAAAATTAATACAGTTCTTTAGCATGATAGTTTAGTAAAACTTGTGATTTCTTAGCAAAACCCCGGGCCTAACAGAGAGTTTTAATAAAAAGAACTTCCTCGATGCCGCTTCCAATGTCGCAAATTTTATAGCATTCTTTAATCTCGCATTAATTCTTCGATGCGGCCCAGATGTCTGAGACATTTGTCTATATTGCATCTAACTGACGAAAGGCCTACATTTCTATCTGATAAATTTACCTAGTTAATTAAATTGTTTTCTTTTGAAGATTTGAAGAAAAAAGATACGTGATTTCAGGGAGTGTCATACGATCGTTCATTAGTCATGCTAAGATGCATTTGAGATGTTTACCTTCTACTGCCCCATGCCCGAGTTACATTGATAAGAATAAAGAATGGGGTTCACTGAAATTATTTGATTCAGTGAATCAAATGACATGATATTTTGTTGAAACATTTAAGATATTTTTACCTATTATCTGGTAAGTACCTATTATCTATTGACAACTTAGTAAAAGAGAAATAATTTTTTGTTACTAATTTGCACGGTTTTCACTTACTTTGTTTATAACTCAACAACTGCTTTTAGCTGCAACAGTTATACTAAAATTCCACTTTTATTAGGAAACGTAAGTGCTGACTTGTTACACTAATCGTATAATATGATATTTTCCCAGTGTCATCAGCTGCAGATCTAACAAATGTAGATGATTGTCCAACTAGGGGTGTTATGGTCTGTTGAAAAGATTTCAAAGCTTATGAGCTCGTTTTCTTGGATTATAACGTACGGCTTGAAGAAAGTGAAAAAGTCCTGGAAAGAAAATGCAAGTGAGTTCTTCTATTTTCCTTCCTAGGTTTAAATATTTAAGGCTAAGCAGATTTAATAAGAAAAGAAACGCTTTTTAAAGTTCTATATTTAATTGGATGAATGTTTATAAAACTAAAATATTATACAAGCAAAAGCATGAAATACGGTTTTATTTCGTAGATTTTCCATGCAGTTTTCTTTTTTCTTCCGGCAAATATAACTCATGGCAGATGCCACACATACCAGGATACTTTTCTAGATTCTTTTGAATCTTCTTTTTTTTTCTACATTTTTCCCATCTTTTTAGTTTTTCAGAGAAATTCATCAGTTTCTACTAAGATTGACACAATATTTTACCACATTAAGACTACAGCAACCGTAAATCATTAAAACTTTGATCATTAAAATTTTATCAAAAGCGTAGTCATTTGTAAATCAAATAATCTTTCCTACAAAATTAAAAACAATTGATAATAAGCAAGCAATAGAAATATGATTTGCAATAGTATATAAAAAAATTAAATTTTGTAAAGTAAAGAAGGAGAATCTCGATACATATTGATCGATCGTAGTAAAGATAAATCAATTGGTAATCTAAGTTTATAACACTGTAGAGACATTAGGTATTTTGGAAGCAGGCAAGATGAGAAATGAGCAATAGCCTTCGCCAGGAATCGAACCACGGACCTCTGGATACCAGCCCAGGTTGCAGAACCACTCACCATGAAGGCACGTTAAGGAGGCGAGAGAAATGCCTTATATACCCCCCTTTTAAAGGGCGACTGGGATTTTTGGGGGACCCAATCCCCAAATCCTGGGTGAAGAGAATCATCATCCAACAACCCTTTTTAATTCGAACGCCGCTGTAGAGAAATTAGGTGTTTTGAAGCTCAAGATTAAAATGAGCACATCCATCGCCTCGCCGGGAATTGAACCACAGACCTCTGATTACCTGCCCCCAGCGTGCAGAACCACTACACCACAAAGGCAACTTTAAGAGAGCGGAGAAATACTCTTATAAAACATGAAGTACTTTCTAGATCTTTCTCTATTGTATTTTTCTACAATATTTCAAATTATAGTCCTAGACAGTTGTATTATATATATTATATATATATAATTTTCTTCTGACTTTTTTGTTCTTTTACATATTTATAATGAATTCTGAAATTTTACTGACTTAATTGCGCTTCTTTCTGTTTTCTTTTTCGGTCTTTTGTGATTTGGTTTTTCTAAATTTAAAATTTCTTTTTGTTAAACTGAATTAATTTCATTATCATATTGCCCGGGATATTTTTTTTTGTTTAAAATATCCCCTGATATATCCCACAAATATCCCGATAATAACCGTATATTTTTTTGTTCTAAACAAAATTTCTAATAGCATATATTATATGTAATATCAAATGTTGAATCAGAATTTATAATATCACTATAAACATTAATTTTTCCTTCCTCCCTATTCTAAATCTAAAAACTTTATCTGCATTGCGTCCATTCAAATTAATCATCGATCTTACGTACCGTTATACCGATGCCTCTTGACGACCCCATCACACGAATTGTAAACCAAACTTTTCTCTTCGCGTGCTCCATTCATTAACTAAACGCACTTCACTTTGCCTCACTCTGCTAGATGTAATTTCCGTCGCTGGCTTGCTTTATCTCACAATATCAAAAAATGTAAATCTTCTGTGGAAAGGCCAGACTAGAGTGCCAAGTGATTGTGCCACAAATCAATTGGAAATAAAATGAATTAAAACTGCTCGACTGCCAGTCTTTAGAGTTCCCATTTGATTCCTAGCATACTCGCATCACATCTTCTTTCAATATGGGTTCTCATCACGCCTCGACAGTGTTCTGCTCTTTTCCTTTTCCTGTCGGTTAATTTACATTTCAGCCGGTAGAGAGTTTCCTGCAAGCCTGAAAAACTCAAAGGAAAAATTTAATTCACTCTCAAATAATGTTTTGTGATAAATCAAAATATGTGAAAAAGTGAATCATCAATTTGTTTTTCAGTGTTTAAAAATAAGATCATTTTTCTCCTGTGGTGTTTTGAAGTGCTCAAAAAATAATCGTAAGTGTTTACAGATTGAAAGTATCTCTCGATAATTAGAGTTCGAATGCCTAGTGAAAATGAAATCATCAGTGAATGACCGTTAGGAATCACCATTACAGCGGGGTCAAGGTCGATCTGAGTTAGTGTTTGCAAGTATGTGCGACGAAAATTATGGACACTTCCGCTTTTTCAATTAGCTCAAAAATCTGAAATTTTGTCATATTTTTCTAATTTTTTATAATTATGTGGACAAAGAATTACGAATTTTCAGCTATTTAAATTATCATAGGGAAGGATATAGATAAGTTTTTATTTTTTGAAATTTGTTGAGAATTTTGAATACGAATTTTATATTATCTAAAATAAGATGTTAAAAATTAAGTGAAATTATACAGATAAGTAATATGAAATTATGGTATGATGTAAATGTGGTTATTGTGTGTTAATATAGTGATGAGGGTTCCTGGCCTGTAATACCTCTGTACGTTTCCTTTTACCCTCTTCATGCAAGAAATGTGGAGGCTCTCTTTATGAATGCATGAAATTTTTTTATTATTATTTAATTATATTTTTTATTATGGAATGTATTAGTGCAGTTCTCAAGGCCAGTTACCTTAATGCAAGGAACGGGCCTTTCAAGTAACTGTCTAGGCCCCCTGGGCCACCAGTGCCAGAACCACACTGGTTTAGCTCAAGAGGACAGCCCTATTGATGGATATGTTGTTTAGAAGTATTGCAAGGGCTTCAGTATGGTAAAATCAGGAATGTAAATGAAAGATGATAACGTGAAACCATAAATTCTGAAGTTAAATTTATAAGCAATTTATCATATGGAAATAAGTATCATAAATATTTATGTGCATTACATTTAATATAAGTAATGATATGTAAAGTTTTTTGTGATATTCTGTATAACAAGACTTCCCTGAAGAATTATGATTATGTGAATTCTCAAACAAAGACTTTTGGACTGAAATGCTGAAAATTCAATAGGAAAAATTAAAAATTATTTAAAAATTGATATTTGTAAATTATACTTTACAGGACAAAAATTTTTATGATTTTTTTTTTTTAATTTTTTCATTTGCTGTGCTTTAACTTTTTCTTTAAAAAGGCTTCTCTGTCGCTACGCCTTTTTCTTTTTGAAGGGGGGAATATGTAAGATCAAAATGTATGAATCAGAATTATAATATAACTATAAACATTAATTTTCTCTCTATTCTAAAATCGTAAAACTTATCTGCATTGCGTCATTCAAAGATCATCATGATCTTACGTAACCGTTTATGACCGATGCTCTGAAACAATCACCGAATTGTAAACTCAAAACTTTTCTCTTCGCGTGCTTCCATTTTCATAAATACGCACTTCAGCTTTTGCCCCTACTCTGCTAGATGTAATTTCGCTGGCTTGCTTTCTATCTCACAATATCAAAATGTAAATCTTCTGTGAAAGGCACGACTAGAGTGCCAAGTGATTGTGGCCACAAATATCAATTGGAAATAAAAATGGAATTAAAACGCTTCGACTGCCAAGTTTCTTTAGATTTACAAGTTAGCATTCGCATACTACGCCAATCAAAATCTTTTCAATATGGGTCTCATCACGCATCGACGTGTTTCTGTCTTTTCTTTTCCTGTGCTTTAATTACATATATATCGATATACGATAATCTGAACAAGTGGCCAAATCTTTAGGGAGGGTTAGAAGGTAGATATAGTAAGAGCAATATTCGCCATCAAATGTATGGTCGGAACGCAAGTTGTGAGAAATTAAAGGGTAGCTTTCCGCTGTCACATTTATAGAATTAACAGAAGAATGAGAGGATACGTCAGAAAATATTTTAGTGACAGGACTGTACCCTGTACCTGATGTACATGCTCAAAGAAATTGCTCAAAAGACCTTCTGCCAACTGTAATGCAGGCTTCACACCTGAGGGATAGTGACTGACGCACAGTTGTGAAGGCACCAGGCATTTCTCGAATATCGCTAGAACACCGGCAATCCTGGTGACTATATCTACATTGCTTCAACGGGGCATTCTTAGATTGCGCTTTCCATATGGCTCCACAGAGAAAATGTCCAAACACGAGTGATCTAGGTGCCGAAGCTATGGGACTAACACCTCGTAAATTTTGTGGTTTGTACTGTTGAGACATTAAGTATTTTTGAAAGCAGGAATGGTGAAAAATGAGCAATGCCTTCACCGGGACTCGAACCACGAACCTCTCGAATACGCGCCGAGCTTGCTGAGCATCAGTTACACCACGAAGGCATGCTAACAAGACAGGAGGATAACCTTACAGTATAATCATCCATCCTCTCGGTAGAAATTGCCGTTAGGTGCGAGGACCGACCGTTTTATACCATTTATAATGCCACCTAATGGCTCACGGTTTGCGTTTCGACCATGCATTCTATGACGAATACTGTTCGTATAGCTGCTTCCTAAACCTTTGTCCTCTTGTTCAAATTTACTCTGTATAACTAAGAGATGAAATTTAAATTATGAAAGGTAGGCCGCTCCTCGAAAGGAAACACACAAAACAAAATCCTTGAACATTTCAAAATATAAAAATATTTGAAAAAATATAAGTAATATTAGCAAACTACTTTCGATTTATTTGCCCAAACATAAATCAAATTATTTGCTAATTTTTCAGCTTACTTATAAGGTATTTCTTCCTTATAAGGTATTTATTTCTTTCTTTTAGCATGCTTTCGAGCTGTAGAGAGGTTGGTGGAAGGGGAAGAGGGGTGGGAAGCCCTCGAACACGTCCTCCCCGGGGTACTCTCCATCCAAATTGGGGATGGAATTGAGCTAAATAGCACTGTCACCTGTAAGGTGCTCAACTCTGTTGCCAACGACAGGCGTAAACTTGCGCTGCTTGCCACGAGGAATTTCGTGGGCTTGGGCTGAAGATAGTTCAGTCAAGTTGGCATTAGCAACAACAACAACAAATTTAAGTTTCTACATCTTCCCCTGCGTTTCTCGGAACATTACAAATTGGTTAAGTAAACACTGTTATTCCTCTGTTAACCACTAGTTCTCTTAAAACGCCATAAAATCTTTTAGTGAATGTTACCAATCCCTATCCACCGAAAACACAAGAATAACCACTGCAAAAAAAGTGCAGTGTACAAATAATTTAAATAAATTCGAACAGAAAGCTGGTAAGCGGTTTATATTGATGAATCTCGAGGATTACCATAAAAAATTTGATAAAAACCAAAAGTTTAAATGTTTTTATAGATATTTTAAATCAAAATCATAGAATATTTATAACTAACAGAATAAAATGGTAAATTTGAAAATTTACTAATTTCTCAGGTTTTACAGTAATATTACCTTTATTTAAAGCAAATATATGCAAATCTTTAATCACCATTATAGCAATATTATAATTTAATATATAAGTTTTATATAACATATATAAGTTTAACATATATAAGTTTTAGAAATTTCATTGTGAATCTTCCGGATTCCTACTCTATGAATACCGAGAATTAAGAGAAAATAAAACTTTCTTGTTTTATCTTACGTTTTCTTTGATTAATACGCGAACTTTATCTTCTGTAAATTCAGGAATACGATGTCAGTTATGAAATGTGCAATAGACTTTGCAAAAACATGTTCAAACTATTTGGAAAACCCCTATTATTTGGCTCTTTAAGATCTCTACTCCACTTTGAATAACATTTGTGACAAGAATAATGCCATTAGACGATGTAAGTTTGACTTTTTTGCTATTATAATAAAACTTTGATTTTGTTATAAATTCATTTTTGTACTTTTAAGGTATGCTTGTTCCATTTTCTGAAAGAAAAGCATTAATACGAAATTTTCTTTAGCGAAATGACATAAAGCGAAGAAGAAACTTCCATCAATTTTAGAGAAAATACAATTTACCTAGGCCTGAAATCTAATTTGATAAATTTATTCCAATCGATATGTAAGACTTAATCAAGTAATATCAGCTTAAAAGTAATGGGCAGGGTAGAGGTGATTTTAAAAGTTCGCAGCATCTTAAAGGTACAAGAAACAAGATATATATAATTTAGTTTCAACTTCTTGAATAAGGATGACAGCAAATTCCTTAGAAGAAACTATTAGATATTTTTTCTTCTTTTTCTATGTTATGGCGAGATGCGCAAGAACTATCTGCTTGAGGCAGAAATACCTTCACAGCCGACTTATTTAGTGCAAATTTGCTCGTATTTACTTAGACATTGGAATCTTGAGTAGACTGTTAGAGAGTCTTCTACAGTACTTAGTGAATTTTAATGTTATTATCTGAGAATTAATTTAAATATATTGTTGCTTAAACTCGTTTTTTTTTCGTTTGGATAAGGTACAGTACGTATTTGCTAGCGGAAAGTTTTGGGCAGATAAAAAGTGCGTTTTTCCCGTTTCTATTATACCGACCACTTTAGGAGTCAAAGGTCGGCAGTCAGCTGCCTTCTCCTTCCCTTACCTTTCGGGGGTGAGCATGTGGTTTGCTAGTTTGGAGGCGAATAGCTCTAAAGAGCGTCGCAACTTGACAGATGTATTGGTTGAAAACATTATTTTTTGTTTGCGCGGAAAAAGGGATTTGCCACTTCAAAACAGAGGACTTATTTTCTTCGAATCTCGGAGGTTAGTTATTGTCTTTGTTCTAGTTGGTTAGAGGGAGTTCAAGCTTTGTGTTGGATTGAAGAGATAAATTTAAAGATATTTTGAGCCAATAGTGAATATAAAGACATCCGTATTTTGAGCGTCATCAAAGTTTTAAAAGTTGTTGTTCGTGAGTAGATTCTTAGCAGATTTTACAGAAAGAAATAAAAAAGGAACAAAGAGAAGGGAATTTTACTGCCTCCTCCGTGGTTTCTGAGCTGCAGAGACCAGTCAGAGTGCGTTGCGGGCTCCACAAGGGAAAAAAAAAGGCAGCTGGACGAACGACCTTTGACTCCATAGTGGTCGCTCCGATGGGAACGGAATAAACCCGCCTTTTAGTTTTACAAAACTTTCCGCTAGCAAAATAAGAGCTTTACCGTATTCAAACCAAAATAAAAATTCACTAAGCCCTGTAAAATAATACGCAACAATTCTACACAACAATTTCGGAAAAAACCCGCCTTTTAGCTACAGAAAACTCCGCTAGCAAATTAAGAGCTTTACTGTATTCAATCAAAAAAAAAAAAAAAAAGAGTTTAAACAACAATATATTAAAATTAATTCTCAGATAATAACATTAAAATTCACTAAGTACTGTAACATAATGCATAACAATTCTACACAATATGAAAAGCCACCGGAAGAATCTCTTGCGTTAAATGTAAATGGATTAGCTTCATCGAGTGCTCAGTCAATGGGTGGTACAGTCGCGCTTGGCTTGTGCAAACGCTTACCTTCCCTTTACCATCTCAGCATAGTTTGTACTCATCAAATAAAAGAAGTTATTAAAACCCACAGCTATGTCAGAAGGTCTTTTTATCGAGGTTGAAGATTCATCGTCTGCTTCGCTGAAAACGGAAAGCTTGAAATAGAGCAGTAGAAGTTGAATGAGAAGCCTCTTTCATTTTTACTTCCTTGTACGAGTAATCGCGAAAAGATTCAGGCAGCATATTTCAACGAAAATATCCATTTTGACCGCTATCGAATGCAATTTAACGATGTTTTTGCGTGATATCTGTACGTAAGGACAAGATTAAATACTCTTTTCCTTCAAAACAATTTATAAAACTGCTTTAAAATTAATTCTGAAGAGAATTTTTCGTGGCGTCTGTACGAACGTATGTACGTACGTACGTATCTCGCGTAACTCAAAAACGAGTAGCTTCAGAACTTTGAAATTTTGTATATAGGACTGCTATAACATGTAGATGTGCACCTCGTATTTTGGTTGCAATCGGCCGCACCAAACGTATATAAATATATTTATATATATATCCACTCTGTTACCCGGCTCAGTGATCTCAGTTTCTTTACTCTTATATGTTTGCAAATTGAACATTTTTTGCTTTAAAAATGATTGAATTACGTTGTTTTTATCTTCCGGTTAAGGATTTTATGCCTTTAGTAAATCTATGGGCAATAATTTTAGAATTATCAGCAATTTTAAAGTTGTTTAATTGCCGCTAAGACTTTATTTAATGGCGGCCATTGATATTTAGATTTGAAACAGGAGACTAGTGAATTTGTTGCCAATCTAGAGAAACTTAGCTTCAAACCAACAACAAAGATAACGCATTTATTTATTATTGCCAATTAAATCATGCTTAATTCTTTCTGGAATTTTTTCGAGGAAATAAGTGTTTGAGATTTACTTCGTAATTTTTTATATAGATTTTTTGAGTTTTTATGTATTTTTGCCTTCTCGCGAAGTGAGAACTGAATTAATTGAATGAGAAATACTCAATCGTCTGTGAAAAACTGTTTCTTTTTTGTTTTGTTTGCTTAATTTCTTTTATACATCATTCTAGCTTTATTATAGTATTTGAATAGAACATGTGGCAACGATTAGATAATTCTATTCTTTAAATGATATAAATTTTGTGCATTATGAGTTATAATATGAACGAAATATATAGTTAACTGTTATATAATTATTGGATTATATAACATTAACTTAGTTTCCGTTATATAATTATTATATAAGTTAACTGTTATATAATTATTAATACTGTTAAATAAATCTAGCCCCAGAGTGTCGCTATGGTAAACAAATACTAGAGTGAATTTTAAAGAATGCATTTATTCTGTTGTGGTTTATGCGCTGTCGGCGAAGTAGATTTAATTCAATCCAATAAGTTTAAATGAAATGCAAGAAAAAATGCGTATAATTTAATATTTCGTGCAAGGAAGTCATGTGGTGTACACATCAGATTTTTTATAACATAAAACCAACCCCCTTTAGTTTACATATTGTGAAGAAACTTCATGTAACACTTTTTTCTGCGTAAACTACAGAAATTTCTATTGGAAGTTAAAAGCAAGAGTTAAATACGTATAACTCTTTTAAGCAACATATATACGTTAAATTATTATTCTACTTCCTTTCAACCAGCTAATACGGGTTTTGGCTTGCATAATTTAACATCATTATTGACTAAAATATTTTAGTTTCACTTTTACCGTGGTATGAATTTTCTCCTCATCCAACGACAGAAAACCTTACTAATTTACAATTTGTCGGAAATTACCAAACCCAATAACCATATCATCACAGAAAATGTGGTGCAGAATGTATCTCACTTTGCGACTGAGTTAGCGCTGCAAGAAAAGTGAAGCTTCTTGTCAGTTTTGAAGGCGAATATCCAAAGAACGAATCCGAAGATTTACTGTTTCCATCAAATTTTCCATCGTGTAAGTACATGCGTAAGCAGTGTTATGCATTAATTTTGAAATGTGGCATTTTAGAAAGTTTTTTAATAAACATATTACTATTTCTAAGTTCAAAAGAGGAAATAATCAAATTAAATAAGTGACTTAAGCTACTCTTACACAGTAAAGTTAGAAATTTATCTTGTTTGTTTTTTACATTTGCACATGTATACTTTTGTGTTTTTAGATGAATGTAAGTGCTCTTCTTATTTCATGACTTTTATTTCAGCGTACATAGAAAATGCCAAGTGTCTAAATAAACAAAACTCGCAGCTGGATGAGAAATGCGGTGAACGGCCACAGTATAATGAATATGGAAATTCGACTAAGGAGATATGTTCGTACGTATAACTTTGGTCATTGCATTAGTAAATATATAGTGAAACATTTCAAGAAGTACTTTTAAGAGGGACTGACAAGTCTTTAAATTCAATACACTTTATTCTAACGAAGGGATAATTTTTTTCCAATGCCGGGCGTTAGCCATTATTAGGCTTTAGCCACTACTCATGCTGGAAGCGGTAGGCACTTTATTATGGATTCACTCAATAGGTGGACTACCGTTGCCTCCTATTGAAGGGAAAGACAATTTACATCTATGCCTCCTCGGGTGTTTGAATCCGGACCCTTTGGTACAGCACTTAGACTCACTAGTTACTTTCCCATTTGGCACGAACGAAATTTGGAATTCTGGGAATTTGGAACGTTCTGGGAATATTTTTTTTAAATTTCGAATATTGATTAAATATATGGTTATTTAATATAAGTGTGCAAACTAACTAAAATGAAGAAACTCCTAGGAAATATTTCAAACGTTTTAAAAAAATAGGAAATTATATAAAATATTTAAGAATATTATATTTATTAGACACATCATATGGTTATTTCAGTTGCATATACTTTTACTTTCGTAGTACTATAAAATTGTTATACACTTAACCCTTGCAACGAACTGAAAGTTTCAGGCTACTTCAAAATTTACTGAAAAATGCGAAATTACGCTAAGAATATTTTTGTAGAGGTTATGCTTTTTTGTCAGGGTTTAAATTCTGAAACGAAAATTCAAAATAAAAGAAAATTGAAACGAGTAATGTATGGCTTTTCGAATTTTTTATTTACTCGTTGCAAAATCTGAAGTAATTTTGACTGTTTCTTATTCAGTCGAAATACCTATGATTCCGGTTATCAGAAGTGATAAGAAATATTCTCAATGAAAGATTAAGAAAGTTATATGTGCAATCAACAACATATTCTGCAGCCAGATAAAAGTTTCTTTTGGCAGAAAATGTGCGTAATAAGTTGTTGAAATTCTGATTGCAGTTCTGAGTCATTCTATTCAAGTATCTGAGAATAAGCCTTTATCACAAAAACTCATATATGTAGATTTAATGATGCTCAAAGCAGATTTTAGAAGACCAAAAGATGTCTATTTCTGATAGGTATAGTCCACATATTTTTATTTTCTTGTTAGAGCAACCATGGGAAAATTAAGCTATAACCGCAGGCTGCATACTTTATAAATTTTCTCTATTTCTGTAGAAATCAGCTCCATAACTCTGTAAGTTTTCGATAAATTTATATTTTAATTACTAGTCCTATTTTGACCATGATGAACACATTCTCATTACTTAACTGTTTCCTTTTCCTAAATGTCTTTTATTTCGACTTTAAAATCTCCATCTCCAAAATATTTATCATATTACAGCTCTCCGCGTTTCATTGATCTCTCATACATTTGATATTCTCCCGATTACTTTCATATTTCTAACTGATTCCCTACGATTCATGCATACAAGTTTTTTTGATTTCCTGCTGAAAACTTTAAAGGATTAGGACATTATTTCCAAGTCCAAAATATTCCCATTAATCAATAGAAATGGTAGACACATATACATTCAATGGTGTATTGACAGATAACAGCACATTCTGTATTTTTTTAGACACAAAAATCTTTGGAACCTTCTTTCATGTTCTGATCAGATGTGTATTATACAGTTGCCATTAGACTGCTTTCGTACAAAATGTTGATGGCAACTTCAATAATGATAAGCTATATTTGATATTAATAGCAAGTTGAATGTAAACAAAAACCTTTTACCAGATGCGTATCCATTTTTAATAAATCTTACACCAAACATCAGGAAAGAACTTAAAATATTGTTTTTTCATTCCGAAGATTCGAAGAAAGTTCTTCGGTAAATTTACATTTATAAGTTAAGTTAAATTTAGGGAAAATTCAAATTTAGAGTCTAGTTTAACTTCAAGTCAGTTTCGAAACACACTGAGTAGCAGAGAATCAAGAAGATATGAGCTAAAGTTGCAATGTCAAAATTATTTCCTTTTATCTCTTATGTATTTTCTTTTCATCTCTTGAATGCTGTCGGCAGCCCGGTCTACGTAATTTTTTTTATTTTGATTAGGTTACAGTCCTTACATTCACATCATTAGTAGTTCGAGGTCCAGTGTGATAGAGATTACCAGAAAATAATCGCTTTTTATTTTCCTTAGAGCTTAATTTTAGCCCCTTGGAATAATTCGAATAAAGCAACAAAGATTCATAAGTAAATAAAGTGCAGTAAAAAACCAGGTTTTTATAAAACTTAAGCATAAACAAAGCATGAAACAAATGTACGTAACATCGAAAAAACGTTGAAGATATGTAAACAAAAATCCCAGTGTTGCTAGCTACAATTTGCAAAATTACGCTAAATAATACCTACCTGGAACAAGTAAAATTTGGGTCTAGAATTATACAAAAGATTACATAGTATTAATGGACTCAAATAAAGGAAACAATAAGAATTATGACAGGGAAATAGGTAACGGTAATGTTTACATTTATCTTGAACCGTTTAAAATAAGCTTTAGTTTAGTGAGTGTTCCCTTCAGATGAAATAAGTAGGCTAGTACTTCTCTTCTAATAATCATAAACCTAAAAATAAACTATTTTTGAATTTTTGAATCGCACAGAACTGATCTTTCAAGCTAGGGCAATAAAAAATTCGAAATAATCAAGTTAACATATACAGATACCTATATATACCTACTATATATACCTACTGTACTATTAAGTGTTAATTATAATATGACTGAAAAAAGGTTTGATTCATTTACGAATAAGATTGAGATTTATCTCGTTCTGCATATATACATATCATCTACGTAGAACGGAGTTTCAATACATATCATACGTAGAACGGAGTTTTCAAGTTTAAATTTTTTAATTTACTGCACTTTTCTGATATCTTCCATTTTAATTATTAATTGTAATAAGCTATTAAAATTTTGTATGCTGTTTTAAAATGTTTCAAAATTAAATTTAAAATGGGTAGAAGTTACTCTTAAATTAGGACTGCAATATAATTTACCTCCAGAACTGCAATAGACCTTTTTGTTTTTAAATTTAACTCAAAAGATAAATTTTCTGCATATTTGTTATATTATTTTGAGCAAGAAGTAAGCTAATCATTTTACTTTTCTGAATAGATTCAAACTAATTCGAAGTCTAACTGATCCTCTGCATTAATTAAAATGGAATATTCGGAGGTAAAGCGCGATAAATCATTTCTTGAAATATTACAAGAAATCCGTTTATTTTTTTTAGAACTCTAAAAAAAGGTTAAAATGTTATTATGAAGACATTGAAGAGAAATGCGGAACAGAAGCTGTACTGGTAACAAAGGAAAGAATATCACCCATTACCAAGCTCTGGGACAGAGAATGCAGTGAACTGTAGTTCTAACATATACAACTGTTATAAAATATATATGCTGAATCGCTTGAACGCGAAATTGCTTTAAATAAGTAAATGTATTAATTTGGCTTTCATACTTTTAAGCTTACTATTATTATTCTTTGATTAATAAAATTTGTTTTATCCTTCATCTCTATACCTTATTGCTATCTTATTTATGTTTAAATTTCTTTAGATGACAGATATAACGGAACTCACATGTGAACGATTTAGAATTTGATGTCTATTAACTCTTGCTCATTGGGAATCATTTACCTTGCTATCAGAAGTTAAACCTTTACAGGCAATGTACTTGTTTGCAACATTGTATATTAGTCAAGTGTAATCCCGTTTTTATCTCAAAGCGACATTTTTGCTTAGTACAGCAATTAAAATCATTTAACACAGTTGAATTTAAAACCCTTAGCATGCAGGAAGCATCCATTAAATGTAAACTATTCACTGATTAGGCGATGTTTTCATGGATAATCAGTGAAGGGTTTACGTTTAGAGCTCTCTTATCAAGTCTGTTCGAGATCTTAATTTCTTATACAGGCTACTCGAAATGACTAATTCGGTATTAAAAGGGCTTTTGGTTTTTAAACTTACAAACACAGCATGAGAAGTAATATGTTAAAATAAAAGGAAGTCATCTAGACATTTTTAGAAGAGTTCTGCGTGTTTTTTATTTTGGTACCTTAAACATGTGAACACGACTGTCTACAAAACTGTAGCAATGATGTTTTATAAATAAGAAAGCCTTGTAAGCAAAGGTGGTCTGAATAACACTTTTTATCTAACTTTTAACTAACTTTATCCGGGAACTTAGAAAGTTACCTTTTAACTAACTTTCTAAGTTCGCGGATTTGACTCATTTAGGATTCCCTTTAGTTTGCGTGTTACTTTTTAAGTGCAGATCAATAAGCCGTCTAATGCTCTGCAGCTTCTGCTCCTCGCTGCTTCATCGAAGAAGCGCACCTTTCGTCATAAACGGTTCTTCTGAAATTAAAATATTTAGAGATTTATTTCTTCTTCTGATGTAGTATAAGCACGTGTCTTACTTTTGAGAAACTATGCTGATTTGAAATCAGGTTTTGAAATCATTCGGAATAACTCTATATCTCTAAATAAAAGTTACTGTTGAGTTTCAGCGATTACCACTACAGTCAAAATTTCAGAATTTGAACAGCAAACAATTCCCAAGAGTATCCTAAAATTTCATGATATCCGTAAAAAAAGCTTGCCTCTTTTTATTTAACTCTGAAGAGATTCTGTTGATAATTTTACTTTAATAACTGCTTGAAGACCTTAATGCGTTTCTTAATAACTATGAAAGAGAACGAAAGAAGCTGTTTGTTTCAAGAACTTGGAACACAATCATGCTATAGCTATTCAAACATTTTACTATAGACACCGGAGGAACGTGTAACATGTTAGATTTCGTATTTTACATATTATTTTTAATTAAAAATACGAAAGTTATAAATCTTTGCCTTATTTAGTATATTTTTGTGACTATATGTCTATGACCAACGTTTGAGGACATAAAGCAGGGCAAGGGCTTTTGTGGACGCGATGTATAATGAATCTAAACAATTAGGCCCAAATTCTAATGCATAAAATTTAAGCTAGCACTGTTTTCATTTGCAGAATTGATTATTCTAAACATAAAATAGCATCTTTTATTATCTCGCGAATGTGATAAGCAGAAGCTGAAAAGTCACCATTTAGTAGCCTGTCCGCATTATTAAAGTAGAAACGAAACGAATATAAGATTTTTAAGGTTTAAAGACTTCTTTTGTTAACTGTGATTTACATCTTGTAATACGGCTTAAATACATAGTTATTTTAACTTACAGTAATTAAATGGGTGAATTTTTTTTTAACTGTCCATATTTCTTATTTTATTCTTTTAATGTGATTTCTCGCAGTGCGCAAAAGCAAATCGATTCTTTATCTCTTTAAGCTGATTTTTTTTTTTTTTTTTTTTTTTTTGATGTATCAGTCGTTAGCATGACTATAAAGCATTCTGTTCATTACGTGCTTCTACAAGCATTACAAAATAAAACAATAAAAAATAAACTGTTACTGTTTCTCACGTGCGCTTTTTTTTATTTATTTGTTTTTTATTAAAAGCTAATTGATCTGAACTGGATTTATGCCAGTATAGTTAGAAGAAGCATAAATATTAGCCGCTGCACTTCATCAGAGACACTTACAAAATAAAAACTTTTATGAGCAGTTAAATAACGGTGAATTTACCAAAATGAATTTAGTAAATTAATCATTATTACTGTAGGTATTTTATAGCTACAGTAAAACTGAAAACTATAAACAATTGGGTTAAAATAACACGCGGAACAACGAGTATTTTAGAAGTCAAACAACAAAACATCAGCGTTATATTTGAAAATTTTTCAGCACTTGTTACCAAAAGGCAAATGAACGTTCGTTTGCACTTTGGTAGCTGATGATTAATTAAAACCATCGAAACCGCCCCTGTGAAAATTTGCATATATAACGCTGATTTTTGTTGTTTGATTTCAAAATTAATCCAAAGAGTATTTAAGATCATAGCATTAAAAACGGATAAAAGAGAAGCATGAAAATTATCATTAAAAATATAATCGAGGCTTTTATTCAATCAAAAGAACCACTTTAAAAAGTTCCTGATGATGAGAAAAATGGCGCTAACAGATTACTTACGACGAGTTACTATTGTGGAGGTTAGAAATAAAAATATGAAGTCTACATTTTGAACTCCAAGGTTACAATAGATTACAGATGAAACAGAAGAACATACTTAACAAATTTTCATAATACAAATACTAAGCTAATTATTGATGCTTCTGGTATCAAAGCATGGAAGAAACGTAAGCTGTGTTAGTCTTTTTATTTAAATTTGTTCCAGTTGTTAAAGAATTAGTTGACACTTAGGATTGCTTTCTTTGAATAAAATATCTGATTAATAAACAGCGCTATCTTATATGCCGCCAGACATGAATTGGCTAGAATTCCCAGGGAAATATTTGCAGATGCTGATTTATTAAGTATCTTTTGATAAAAGGGTAATATTAAATTACTGTTTGATTCCCTATTCTTCACTTTACAGCAGAGATTTCTTTGATTCATTGCTTTTACCTCCCGAAATGTTCCTTTATATTACTTTCTTAACTGTGGCAGTCGGTAAGTGAACTTTATCAGTCTAACGTTAACCTTTAATTGGTTACATTTTAAGGTTTATTTTAGTTTTATAAGAGTTATTTTTAATTTTAGAACCCTTTCCTTTAAATTCTTATTCCCATTTATAACTCCCTACCAGAATGAGGTTTTAGTATCGCGTTGCATGTAAATTAGGTAGAAGTATAAGGTATTTCACACGCCTTCTTAGCATGCCTTCGTGGTGTAATAGCCAGAAATCGGCGCTTATCGAGAGGTCAGTGGTCCGAATTCCGGCGAGGGCATTACTCATTTTTCATGTCTCCTGCTTCCAAATGACCTAATGGCCAGAACAATCGGCGTGTATCGAGAGGTCCGTGGTTCGAGTCCCGGCGAGGGCATTGCTCATTTTTCACTTACTCCTGCTTCAGAAATAGCTAATGTCTCTACAGAAGGAGTATTTAAAGAAGGTCCAGCTTACTTTAGTAGGAGAGCTTAGGAGTCCTTAGTGACACGTGTTTGCCATCAGGTTACTTCGTTATTAAGCCATCTACACTCGGCCGTATTATACGTGCCTGTTGGTAATGGCCGGCTAATTTAATTAAGTATACCAACTACGTTAGGTAATCGTGTTTAACTTCGGCTCAGTTTAGTTTAGTATTATATTAGTTTCTTATTTTTGTATGTTAATTTAAAGCCCAAATAGAGGCTTCCTGTAAGCTCGAGAAGGGGCCATCTGTTATTATTTCTTTGAGTGAGTAAAAGGGTATTTTAACCCTTCTCTGGACTTTGTCGCTGCAAACATGAACTCAGCGATAAGTGGCTATGTAGTTCAATAGGTTCCTCTATTTTCAGCATAGACGAAGTAGGTAGGAATATTATAATATTAATACATATAATTTTAATATCTTAAATTTTAGTACAATTTTCAGACAGTATCTTTTATTTTAACAAGTAACACCATCAAAATAAATTAATTATTGAGGATAATTTATTAGGACATTTTTTTTACTGATTTAAAAATATTAATATATATTTTTTTTCTAAATTGTTATTCAGACTTTTAACAGTAGCATAAAAGAGTTATTGTATGTATTCCAATAGATGCAAAAATATAATCTTATATTTTTATTTCAATTCAAATTCTATTTCACTAGTTTAAATAATAATAAAAAGAACATTATGAAGAAACGAAAAGAATACCAGTTGGTTAAATTTAACGCTAGTTGGTTGGAATTTAACGAAAACTAGTTGATTGGAAAGAAAAAAAACTAATTGTTTAAATTTAACTCTTACACTGCACGCAGCCCCGCCAAAAAATTAAAATCTTGTATAAAATCTCATAAATGTTTATGAAGCCTTAGAACGGATGTAAATTTTATAAAATACGTTTTAAAATAGTTTCCAAAAATTCAACTCTTTTTTTATAATCTTTTTTAAAAAACAAACTTTTGAACTTGGACAATTCACTGATTTGAATAGAATCCAGTTTTCGAATCTCTATGTCCTTAAATGCACTACATTCAGAGCATCTTATTTTCTCTCTCCTTTCGGCATGCCTTCTTGGAGTAACGGTACCACACTCGGCGCGCATTCGAGAGGTCCAGATTCAAGTCCCGGCGAGGGCATTGCACATTTTTCACGTTTCCAGCTTCGAAATAACCTGATGTCTCTACAATGTTATTCACTGAAAGGGCGATATTTAAAAAGCCTCGTAATTGTTCATCTCATTTTTAAATGCTTTTAAATGTATAAGGTATTGCTCCTGCCTTCTTAGCATGCCTTCTTAGTGTAGTGGTCAGCACGCTGGAGGAGTATTCCAGAGGTCCGTGGTTCGATTCCCGGCGAAGGCGTTGCTCTTTTTCATCTCTTCTGCTTCGAAATATCTTAATGTCTTTACACTGGCGCCCGAACTAAAACGTGTGGTGGATGATGATTCTCCACACCCAGGATTTGGCGACTAGGTCCCCTAAACCCCAGTTGCCCTTTAAAAGGGGGAGTATTCGAGAGGTCCGTGGTTCAAGTCCCGTCGATGCCCATTTTTCATGTCTCCTGCTCCCAAACAACCTAATGACTCTACAAATGTACTTTACGTGTGATGTTAAACAGCAATACCCCTAGTGTTACATATTGAATGTTTTAAAAAATGTATAATGAATCATGAATTTATTTTTACATTCCCAGTACATTTTTGGTAACCAGCTGCCCAGCAGTGAAACGACGATTTCAAATCCTCAAAAATGTCCTGACTGCTAGAAAGTTTTCATGTTTTCTTTATATGTAACGTAACTAACTATAAGGCAGTTTCTCCTGAAATTCTTTCCTGAAGGCATACTTCCTCTTAGTCAGATAGTCGTCGCGTGATTTGCTATAAAATTATAAATAATAAAATTCTATGTTTTTTTTCTATTCATAACTAGCTCTAGCACCAATCCAAAGTATTTTAATAAAATTTTGTCTTCAGTCTTTAAAAACATGCTATTAGCTCTAAAATGGCTTTACCATAATAATAATCTTGTCTTATTAATTGATTTCAGCCATGTAGTGAAAACTTTCTATTTTTTATTTGAAGTTTAGTATTAGACAGCTCCACAGATTATTCATCGGATATATTTTCATAAACATTTTATTGAAAAATATGTTTCATAAAAAGACACGTCATTACATTATGTTAACTGACACGAAGAGTTTACAGTGAGCATTGGTTCTTCTTGCCAAAATATTTTGACATGGTCACTCTAGATAGCTATTACAACTCAAAACAGCCTACCTGTAACCACCGAGTAGGCCAGACAACTGAAAATTAGTAGTTCGACACGGATTCAAATAGGAGTGAAAGGATTAGTTCCACAGGCGTTTGTGCGGTATTTGACATATATAAAGTGAACTCGAATTAGTTTCTCTTAGAAAGTCCTCCGAACCCATATCCCTACGATCAGTAGACAGTCTTCTTTTGCGTTACCATGACCGAGTAAAGAAACAAATCATTTAAAAATTATTAAATATTTTACTCCATAAGTTGCGTATCTTGTCCATTGGGATGGATTCTGCACACTTTTGGATTCCTTTTTCAGTATCAGTAATCCAATAATTTTCAGTGTAGCGACGCTAATCCCTTATCTGCATTGTACTCGTAATTAATTGGGAGAAATATATAAATCGATCATATGAAGTTAATTATTTAATTAAACTATTTTCTTCCTGATTAAAAACAGAATAATCACAGTATTGTATGGAGAGCACAAATTCGTACATGATACGTGGTACGGAACATTAATAGTGCCTACCCAGTACTATACAGGTATATTAATGAGAATAACTATGTTAAGGGGATGGTCGAAATGACATGACTGTTTTTACTGATAATATGTTTTTTAACAATTACTTCGTGAATAATCTATTGACAACTACAGTGTAGTGGGTAGGCTAAGATAACCATAGGCAATGATGATGCGTTTTATAGATACCTCAATTTTGTTACGATAAACTTAAAGCTGTGATCGATTCGAAGAGTAATATGACCTAAAATATTCAAGGTATACAATAGATGATTTAAAATGTTTAATTATTAAGAACTTCGAAAGTATTAAGTCTCTTAATTACCTAGAAGCTTGTAAGGGAAGTTGTAAAAACATTTTCGTGAAACTAATACCTGCTAGTATTATACTTCCATCTCTTGTAGGCAATGTGAAACAAAATCCATTAAGTTCTGGTCTGTTTACTTCTTCGGATGAACATTCGCCGGAGAATAGTAAAAACTTTCTTAAGTTACATATTAATCCTATAGCAAATAAACCGGTTGTTCTCAATATGCAAAATATTGGAAATGGCGAGGTATTGGTACAACGTTCCTCTGAAAAGAGCAACAAACAGAGATTCAAGAAAAATCTCCATAATTAACCCCCATTTTCTTCAAAATGGAAGAATCGTCTGATTATAATAAAAGATATGCCTAACAGAATAAAATATAAAAACGTTCTGGATGTTGAGATACATCCTGATATCCTTAAAATTATTTTAAAACAGAGCAGATTGTAAATTTCTTGGAGTATGTATGCTGTGGGTGACTTTACTGTGATTAAGTGGTGTATCAAGTGTTTGTGACAAAATGATTGTATTGAACTTTGTAAAAATCTTCTGTCTTGTTATTTCTGTGCACATGAACATGGAAATAATATTTACCCACATTTGAGTTTGAAAGTTTGTATCAACTGCAGACGCAATCAAAAAGAAAAGATGAGAAAAAATTAAACATTAGTCATTTTCCCTTTTCTGAAAATTGCTGTTTTTATGAATTTATAAGAAGTAAAAATTTATCAAAAACAAACAATGGATAATAGCTATAATTGTATTTTAAAATTTGTTCAAATCAATCTACTCGTACATAGATGTAAGCTGCAACTCTGCAAATTATCTTAAATATGGAGGCAAAAGATATTGTTGCTTCTTTTGCTCAAAACCTTCACTTACTAGCGAAAGATATCTATCGTGATCTTTTGTTTGGTTTTCCTAGTATTTTTAGGATGTAATATGAGTAAAGTAATAACGGCTGCTATTTTTGTTCGAGTTGTACTTCTGCCTAATTTTTTGTTTTAAATTTCTTGAATTATAAGATTATTACTCTTGTCATTTTTTTAATTTTTAAAGATTAAAAAAATATTTTTGTATTCATATTATTTTGAGCCTTCTAGGTGTCTTGAATATGTTTTACAGAAAATAAATCGGGTTTCCCAGTCTAAGGATCTTACACAGCTTATCTGGGGTTAGGACTCCAATAATAAGTCTGAACTGTGTTTAGTCCTTACAGTGATTATCGGGAAAACAGGTTTGGGGATTTTATCAGCTATTATATTTTATACGTGATCAACGAGGATTGTGGCCTCGATTTTGTTCGAAGCAGGGATCAGGTTATACTTATTTTATAATTATGGGGGTTGATTTGCTCTCGAATGTCACCCGCTGGTGTCGCTCAGACTGTGAATCCTTGTCAGATCATGCGATGATTAAATTTGAATTATCAATTTCTGCTCCTTCTGATGCTGTTAGTAGAGTTTTGTTTAAGGGGAAAAAAGCAAAGTTGTAAATATTTTGAAGAACTTTGTTCATAGTATATTCGTTCGATTTCAAGTCGTCTGGACTCTTACGCAAGAGCTGACTTGCTTGATTCGATGGTTGATTTTATAACTTCAGTTATTTTTCCGGCATCTCTTAAATCTGAGGCTATTAAAAGAACTTGTGTAACGTACCATGGCGTTACACATACGTACCATGGCGTACCATGTAACGTACCATGGCGGTCATTAGAGATTTTCAGTAGAGCTAATACGGCTAGACAGATATTCCAAAGAACTTCTGGGAATGCCGGATTTGTATAAGCTTTAACATCTTGATTTGAGGGGAAATGCAATGAAATACTTCTTAAAGCCAAATTAGAATCTTGGAGGAAGTTTCTTTCGGACGTTAATAATGAAAACGTTTGAAAATATACTTATAATATTACAGAAACTTTTACGAAGAAGCTTCAAATGTCAGACCTCCAAGTCCGACGGGCAATTTTACATCTTCTATCATTCTTCTCATTGTGAGATGTATGATAATGACATTCATGCTCAGAGGCGCTTATCTGCTCCCAGTGAATATACATCTTAGATTTGTCTTCCCCTTTCGCCAGCCAGGTTGATAATGGAATTACGAATTGAATGCCTTGCATGACTCCTGCCCTGGATTCTATTCCCAATGGAACTTTAAAAGATATTTCTATCGTTTTTTCTTCCCTTTTAGCATAGTCTGTTAAACTTATGTTTGAGTCTTCGTGCTTTTCCGTGAATCTAGAAGAATGCCCTTTTCGCTGTGATACCGAAGAAAAAGACTTTCAGTGTTCCAATGCATTTTTCTTTCTTCTTCCTCGAGTAAATGTTTTGAAAAACTAATGACCTACAGAATTCCTCGGCATCTACGCAACAAAAATATTCTTAGAGCTGATCAATATGTTTCAGTGCCAAAAATGTACTAGGAATGCACTTTTAGATCTAAGCAGCATTGTACATAGGGGCAAGACGAGAGTTGTGTATAATATTTTAGTTTTTCTCGATGTTCAAGGAGACTCCGATTATGCATGGTGACCTGCCATTCTTAATTTACTGAAGAAAATGAAGCTGAGTCGTAATGTGTTGAATGTTTGTGCCGATTTTCTGAAGTACAGGATTACTGAGCTTTTTCTGAATGCCATCTCAAGAATCCAGACCTCAGAAAACATCAACCTCAAAAAGGATGTCCCAGGCTTTGAATTGATTATCAACGGTCTATTCAATTACGAAGTTATTGTTTTGCTGATAATTGGTAATTGATTTGCTGATAATTGGTGATCGATGATTTACTGTATTTAGGGAAAGGGGTTGCATGAAATTTTTGTCCCTTCCCGAGATGTTCTAAATTACATTTATGAGTGATCAATAAATTTTAAGCTGAAATTTAACCACGCAAAATGTAAAACGATGCTCACTGGTAGAAGACATACTACTTATATCAATTGGTGTTTAATTACGATGCCCTTGAGACGACGAATTGACTTAAAAATTGAGGTATTTTACTAGACAGTCAATTTAACAGGAGAAAGCATATTTCCAATAAATATGAGAAATTTAATCGTGAACGGAATCGAAATGCATGTAATAGTTTTGGTGTTAAATCGAATGTTTGTGCAATTATTTATAAATAAGTATTGTTCTCTTCATTTCATATAGCTGTGCAGCTTGGAGATCGCCCATAAAAAGGACTATACTCTGCATCAGGTTCATAGACGAATTCTGCTGCAAGTTATAGGGACTACAGGACTATTAGTTGTAATCCCTTGCAGGATTCCCATCGCTGCATATATCTGTCTGGATATATCTGCAATGCGTAGGTTGCAAAGACAGCCTTTTCAGTTGCTCCAGTTATTATTTTAATTGTGGATTGCCCTCATCTGCTCTTCTTTATCCATCTGTAAGACGACCAGTACAAATTGTGTATAGCATGGATGTTGATGAAAATTCATTTTCAGTTATTTGCTATACGGATGATAGCAAAACTGACGATAGATTTGGTTTTGCTTATGTCATCTATGAGGATGGTGTTGAGATTGAGCATCAGCAGTTTCGAATTAGAAATGAATGTACTGTATATTATTTCTGAACTTCTCTGTATTAGTTTTACAATTAGGTGGAAATTTACCCACGCTAGAAATTTTTCTACTATTTAATCTTTACTGATTCTTGCTTCCATGGAGTCCCTATTATTATCCGGTGTCCGCCGATAACATCGCGGCAAAAAAATCGTGGACGAAAACGTCGCGGAGAAAACAACGCAAAGCGAAAACGTCGTGCTACAAAACATCGTGGGAGAAAACATCGCAAAGAGAAAACATCGCAGTTCTAAAACATCGTGGTACAAAACATCGTCGTAGAAAATAAAGCGGTTCAAAAACATCGCAGTTTAAAAACATCGTCGTCGAAAATATCGTGGTAAAAAATAAAGTATCTACAAATCATCGCATGACGATAATATCGCAGACATGCTTTTTTCAGGTTTTAATAATTGTAAATGGATATTCCCATAATGATTTGTGAGCGCAAGGTGTAAAGAAGGATAAATTTTACTTTCACATTTTTTATTAACTAATAAATTTTTGCTGAAAACGTAAGAAGGAAACTTAAGCATAAAAATTAAATGTAACTTATAGATTATACTTTTCATGAAATATTACCAGTAAAAAACTTTATAAAAATGATTTATTAATGGCCTTTGTTAGTTAACTATGGTCGGTTTAAAATTCTATTAAGTGCTATAAGTTGCATTAATTTTTATGCTTAAGTTTCCTTTTTATTTTCTCAGCAAAAGTTTATTAATTAATAAAAAATATGAAAGTAAAAATTATCCTTCTTTCCATCTTGCGTTCACAAATCATTATGGGAATATCCATTTACACTTATTAAAGCATGCCTGTAAAAAGCATGTCTGCGATGTTATCGTCATGCGATGATTTGTAGATACTTTATTTTTTACCACGATATTTTCGACGACGATGTTTTTAAACTGCGATGTTTTTGAACCGCTTTATTTTCGACGACGATGTTTTGTACCACGATGTTTTAGAACTGGGATGTTTTCTCTTTGCGATGTTTTCTCCCACGATGTTTTGTAGCACGACGTTTTCGCCTTGCGTTGTTTTCTCCGCGACATTTTCGTCTGCGATGTTTTTGCCGCGATGTTTTCGGCTGTAACCTATTATCCACATGTCATAATGTGATGATATTTATTGTTATCATACACCAGTCTGTCTGAGATTTACTGGAGAAAAGTATTCCAATGTTTTTTTTTATATTTGATTGTGGATCCTCCGGGATACATGGAAACGAGAGAGGGATTGGTTTGCCAAGACTGCAACTAGAAAATCATTTCTGTTGATTTAAATGTTTCAAAATCGTACTTAAAAAACATTCAGAAGCAAAAATCATTGAACAATGGAATTATTATTGCATCACTTCTAATAAGGCAGATATTACAAAAAAGTTATTTCCAACTATCTTTGAAAGAATAAAGAATAAGGATTTATTGCTCTTTTAACATTACATAATCTTACCTAAACAAGGAATGTTTAATGTTTATCTTGAATGTTTTAAGATGACGTCTTCCGAATTGTGCTATTTAGTGATCTCTGCGTTCATCAAAGTATCCAACTAACATTTGACTGCCCTTTGCTGAATTAGGCAAGATATTCATTAAAATGTAGACGGGAACTACTTGGATTAATTGCTCACCAAAATGTTATGAATTTGATTCGCTGCCTTCAGCCTACCTTGCTTTTAGTGACTTTGTTGACTTTTATTATATTGTAAATTATATTATTATTGTTATATTGTTAATGATTTTTTTCTGTATTTGCTTGTTGGCTTTTTCTTTTCTTTTAAACCATGTGCGCTTGATTTATACTTATAATTTAAAGTTGATGCGTTTTCCTTTACTTAAACATTTTAGGCCTCGTATGATACTTTGGGGTGCACGAGGAGTTGAAAAGAGAATACCTATAGAATTTCCGATAATCAGCCTCGCGCGCTGGAGATAAAAATATTTTTTTTTTTTTTTCTTTTTTCTTTTTTTACTATGTTGCCATTACCCGCTTTGAAATCAGTGAGTTTGTTAATCACAAAGTCATTAAAGTTTTACAAAATATGAAATAGATAATATAACAAATTAGAAGCCAGAAGCCCATATTCGAGTGGAGGACTACGTTATTAAAAGTTTGACGTCTCTAGATACCGTTGTTTTTTGACAGTGAGAAAAACACACATACATTCATGCTAATTCAGAGCTCTAATACTTGGTGGCAACAATTTGAAAGGGAAAATGCCATTTACAGTGAACCAACACAAAATGCCAAAACGAAATTAACAGTCGTTCTGGGCAAATTGCCCCTTTGGGCTAAAAATAATTACGTAAAATATAAGCAAATTCTTGTAAATAGTCTGACATTGTTTCTAGTTTCTTTGCATCCAAATTACCATCTGATTTTGGAACTAAGCTCGATAGTAAAATCTCGATTTCATTAAATAAAAGAGCATTTTCTTAATAAACTAAAAATATTTACGAATATGACATTTTCTAGTGTTGTCGGCTGCAGAGGAACTGAACGACGATCTTTGTCCAGCATGGGGTTCTATGTACTGCGCTAAAGATATCAGATCTGTGGATGATCTGCTTGTTCTTAATGATTTTATGCTGCTTGAAGAAAATGAAGAAGAGCTGGAAAAAAAGTGCAAGTGAGTCTTTGCAACTTTCCTTTCTAAATTTAAAGTTTTACAGCTTAGAATTTATTAAAATTTACTAAGAATATTTAACAGGAAATTATATGCCGTGTCCTAAAATATTTCATTTAACAAATGAGTTTATATTAATTCAAAATATCATTAAGTAGAGATATAAACATGAATTATGTTTCCCTTTTATACTTATTCCATGCCGTTATCTTATTCCGTGCCGCAAACTGGAGATGTATTTTCATAAACATCTTTTTTTTATGCTAACATTATTTTCTAGACTTTATTGCGTTTTTCAAAGGCATTCAGTAAATTTCTAATAGTAGCGTGTATACTTTTGCCAAAGTAAGCCTATAACAATATAAGTATCTAGTGAAACGCGACTTTTTTTAATTTTTGACTTTACAAAGTTGATCAATAAACCCCTTTCGAAATGAAAGGCAATATGAAATTCCAATAATCTCTCGCTTAGAAAAAGAAACTTAATATCCATATAACAGGAATATTGCTTATGATATATAAAAGCGATGTTTAAATTTTACTCTTTTATGAAGTTACTGCAATGAATGTCAACATTTATTGATCAGAGATAGGAAACGTAATCATACTTAATTTTTAAGACAAATTTGTAACGCAAAGAAATAATTCATCGATTTTTAACTATCTGATTTTTTCCAACATATTAAAAATATATTTTATTACAATTAGTTATATAAAGAGAGAAAATTGTAAGTAAAATAAATATTTCAGAATCATTTCATAATCATTTTTATTATGATCTATCTACTCTAAATTTTAATTTCTATTATTGTACAGATAGCTTATCTTCTCATCTTAATTTCTAAGCAGGAAAAACATAAATTTAATCGTAAGCTTAAAATAAACCTTTTTCTTTTCTTTTCTTTTTTTTTTTTTTTTTTTTTTTTTTTTTTTTTTTTTCTCAATCGAGCAGCTGTACAATCTGTGCAATAGCAAAAAATCAAACCTCCGCAGCTTACAAGAATTCGGAAATAAATACTCGAGTAAAATTAAATTACGAAATTACAACGTAAAGCGCGACTACAAGCTTAGGCTAAGGCTCTCAAACTTTCACGAGCAAGCAAATATTAAAGCTGAACTTACATTGACAAATTTACAGCCTGGTAGGAGTAGACAAAATAATAAGATAACTTTTTGATTAATATAAAACCCTACAGTTTATCCAAAATTCAAATAATTATTTGTGCATTCTTCCAGGTATATAAATAAGTCTGTCAGATTTCTGAAATTATTTTTTCAGCAATCTAAAGTGACTTTTATCAGTAGTATATACCTTCATTGATGCACTGATAACGGTTATGAAAACTATCTAACGGAACGGCGATTATCCGAAACTTTATACATTATTTCGAATATCAAAGCACCGGATGACTGAAAAGATAATGTAAAACTTATTTCATACCGACACCAAATAATATGAAGAACATTTGGGAGAATACTTGATGTAAATTTAAAGATGGAGCTCCTAAGTTTTTTAGTAAAATATAGAAGTGAAATTTACTTTTGTTTCAACCTGCAATCACATCGGGAATTGCTTCTGAACACAGGTTTTTGAACTGTTTGAGAATCTTGTTATCATCCCAACCATGTCACAGATATTCTTAAACGGTTAGAAACTTTCGGCATTTGCCTTTAAACAATAGCAATAATTTCCATTTTCTTAATTTCTTGGTTATCTACAGTACAGGATGTAATCTCAACAGGATTTAAAACATATAATTCAAACTCGTTGATTTCTTTTTCAACATCATTTATACTACTTTATATTAAGTAATAGTATTTACTTTTTTGTAGAAAGCGATGCTTAATTTTTAGAATCTTCAGCCATCATTGAAGAAAAGTGATGTTTTTTTAAATCGTTCTAATGTTCAGTTTGACTTTTAAAACGGTGTGTTCGAAAAACTGAGTAATTCTTATAATCAGAATTCGGATAATAGTATATCTTTTGTATACTAAAATGTAATGAAAATATTTCTAGCAAGAAAATAAATCTTACTTGTTTTGACAAGACATAGGAGTATAACTGTCACTTAAAGAGCTATTTGACTTTTTCTTTCTTTCTGAATGTCTGGCAGACATTCTTCTCTGCAATCCGCACGGCTAATCACATACGCTAAAAAGCTAACCTAAAAGGACGGGTAACAGAAACCGAATGAAAATAAGTAATAGACTTCTTACATTAGTGATTCTTCCAAGATTACTTGGCATCACTAGGGCCTACTGCCCAACATCTATAAATACAGTCTGTGACTTGGCAGAGCTTTTACCTTTGCGAGGAAGAATAAATAAATAAATTGAGAAAGAAGTAGTCTGTCAACTAGTCAAACAATTGAAAAAACCAGTAACCATACTAGCACATACACCTGTCACAAAAAGGCATAAGAACCAAAACTCAACAACATAAACAGCATAGATACCACCTTAGTTACTTACACCTTAGTTAGGAATTTATATAGATGGTTCAAAAGCTGAGCACAACGTTGGAAGTGCTTTTATAGCACTACGTCATGAACAGATAGAATATCAGTGGAAAAGTCACCTACACATGAACAATAGTGTGTTTCAATAGGAGGCAAGCCGCCCAACGGGGGTAGTGGTTAGAGACGCTGATTGCCGTACCGAAAGGCTCGAGTTTTGGGGAAGGGATGGATGTTTGTAAATGTATAGTGTCTGTGCGGCATGGGGGCACTCTAAATATGCGGCGAGCTTAAAGTCTTCTCGAGAGGTTGGTGGTTGGGGAAGAGGGGTGGGAGACCTATGAATCCGAACCCCCCCCCCGAAATAAGAATAGTTTTCTGTAATACCAAATTTTAAGAGAAATTATTATTAGTTTTGTACTAAAATAAAACGTGATCAATATTTTCATTGATAGTAACTAAAGTATCAAAACATATCTGATATTTTTCCGGGTAAATCTAAAATCATTATGTAAAATATAATTCCCTTTTCCTTCGGATTTTTAGTGTAATAATTAGAATTTAATTTCTTCGTACTGTGAAGATTATCTGCTCATTCAACTTTCATAATAACTTATACACAAATTTAAAATAAATATATAACATACTTTAAACTTATTTGTTGTAGTAAGAAAGTAATATTATATCACATTAAAGCATAATAATTTTACTATTTTGTGTTTTTTCTTGAAATATATTAAGCAGTATGAAATTTGCATTTCTTTAGTTAATATGTGCTATTTCATTTTTTTTTTTTTTTTTTTTTTTTTTTTTTTTTTTGGAATTGTAGGAATACGGTTCCATATGCAAAATGTGTGGTCGACTACGGACTCAAATTTTGCCAGAAAGTTTCGGACAACATTCACTATCAAGGCTTTAAATACGACTACGCTGCACTTTCTAGAGTCTGCAACAAGAATGACGAGGCTAGAAGGTGTAAGTTCAGTTCATAATTGCCTTAATAAACAGATCATTTTTGCTATAAAATAATTTTTCTATTTTTAATACAATTTTTACCGCTTTCCGGAAACAGAATATTTCGACAATCGAAATAGGCCAAAAAGAAAAAGGTGGAAAAATTTCGACGACAGCAGGTCCCTAACGCAACCTTATAGAATTTGACCTTCTATGGGAGCGGAAACTAGTATCAAACTACTAACAGACGTTTAGCAAATTATCTCTGCATCTAAAAAAATCTGCAAAGTCTTTAAACGGTTAAAAACAAACTTTTTTATTGAAAACGAACTTGAACGCAAAACGCACTTCTCGTGCTTTACAAGATCAACCACCACTTGTGGCTATGTAGCTTAAAGTAACAGTAAATTCAAGTTAAAATTCAACCTGCTAGTCAAACAGAATTTATTTTAAAATTAAGTTGTCTCAGAACGTCTCACCAGGGTAACAATTTAAAGGACGGCGCGCTATAATGCAAAGCCGAATAATTTCAATCTTATCAGAGCTGGCGAAACCTAATAATGTGGCCTTTAAAGGGCAGAAATACACTCTGTCTTAAAATCCCAGACTATATCTTAAATACTTTCTAATTAATTTACATTTTTGTTGAGGAAACGGAAAGCAGTAGTTATAGTAAAGAATTAAATTAGAAATAACTGGTTAATATCAAATTACTTCGCCTCAAAAATCAATAAATAAATGAAAACGACGTTATTCAAGCTTTGAAAAGTACTACATTTGATCCGGGTGTCCTTTTGCTTTAATCTTTTACTCTATGTGAAAGAGAAACAGATAATGCAATATAAAAGTAGACAAAGCAGCAAATTAGATATTGACTGAAATTTTAAAATTTACTCCAATTCACTTTTTAAACTTTATTACACAGTCCATTTTCCATATATGGACAAATCACAATAATTGCATCAAGACTGCAATTCTTTCTGGACGTCTTTTAAAACGAAAGAGCATCCAGCATTATCTGTAATTCAGCTTAAACGCCCTCTATTATATCAGTTTCAGGTCGTAACAGTGCGTTTAATTCATGGCTACAATCTGAAACGTAGAAACCAGTCTCATAATAAAAGGCATCTAATTCTACCGAAACGGAACATCCAAGGTAAAATACGATAGCTTTGAAGAAAAGCTGATATATATGTACTAGATACATTAATGAATGTGAATGTGTGCTAAGACTGACAAGTCAAAATGCCAATGAGATGTTTCACTGCCGTGGTCCGAAGCGATGACAAAGGATATTTTTCGCAAAAGAATTCAGCTCATGAATAATGGCTGAGTGGTTAAGACCTTTGATTAATAGCATTTCTTTCCGATTTCTATTCGAAACAAATGGGAGAGCTATGTTGTTGGGTTTCGTGTTGTGACGACTTGAGCGAGAGTACAATCCAATTTCTCATAAAAAACCATCCATGAAGGTATCCCTCTCTTAACACTAGAATTACGGAAGCGATCATTTTAATCAGAAACGAAATTAAATTGTTCGTATTTTTTTTTTTTCATTTTTTTTTTAAAAATATTTTGATATTTTTTTTTACTTTTCCTAAATATAAAACAAAATAGCAAAGCAATTTTTGGCCTACTTAAAGTGATTATTTTTGCATACATATTACTGATGATTAGATTACTGCTAGCAGTCATTTTGGCTGTTCGCTTGCCTGTGGTAATGTCTCAAATTAACTTCATGTCTGAATGTTTTAGTAAGTTCTTCACTTTGTTCTCTGCCACACCTTCCTTTCGCTTGAAATTGTTCCAGGCATTTGGCAGCTTCTTTTATCTTTTAAATGTGTTTCTATTTATTATGTCACGTAGAATAGTCGGAAGAAAATATCTACCAGAAGAATTATTTACAAGAATTTTGCAAAGACAATTACGGTTAAGAAATTCTTTTCCATGAAGAATTCAATACAGAAACTAATTGTATTTCATCTGATGAAGACTGGGTATTTCCAAACTACAAAAAGTGAAGCTGATTCAACAGATGATGGTTCTACTTGTATTATTACTTCTAAATGAAATTGTCGTAATATTTCATTATTTGGTCCTGAAGAAGAACAAGGTATTCCTTCTTCATTTCCTTGTTGTACCGATTCGAAAAATAAAGTTATAGCAAAGGTAGTTGGGGAGTTTACGGATTTAGTCTTGAACGAGAATTTAGTCGCAGACAAGAAGTAGTCACTATGCAAAAAGACAACAAACCCGTGGAGCAAGCCATAGTTCAATAAGAAAATAAGGTACATTAGATATTTTGAAAATTAAACAAATTAGTCAAAAGATGAATAAAGAGCAAATTATGGCACTATGTAGAAAAAAGTTATTGTTTCAGTTAATGCACTTAAAAGATTTTTTCTTCAAAATGTTTTACGAGAAATAGGAGAGAAACTATGTCTGCTAAGAGAAAAGTAATTGATAGGAACGCAAAGTTATTGAAGTTACGCATTGAGATTGTTTAAACAAATGAGAAAATATTTCATAATATACACGAATGCGCTAAGCCGAGTCACGTCAAAAGTCGGGAAATCTAAACTGGAACTTGTCACCTGATGAGCTAGACTTTTTTGTTGCTCTATTGAATGCACATGGCCTAATGTCTGCCAGATTACTTTCGAGTCTATTTTCCAAACCCTCAGACCCAAAATCATTTAGTGAAACAGCAAAGATTACAAACTGATCCATTTGCTTTTGCTTCATAAGTATGGAATACTTTTATTGATAATTGTCTACTATGCTATTGAGCACATGAAAATATTACATTAATTCATAACAGATGTTCCCACAAAGGAAAGATGCCGATTTATTCAGTATATGCCAAAATATACTGATAAATAAAAACTCGATAAATGTGGCATAAAATTTTGGCGTTTAACTTAAAAACAAAATGCTTTGTAAATGATGTTTTTACTTGAAGAAAGGTGAATGCAGTCCAGTTGAAGAAACTGTTGGAAAGCATGTAGTTTACCGGTTGAATAAGCCCTTTTATAACACTAAAAGAAATATTACTGCGAATAATTTCTATATTTCTTTGAATTAAAAACAATTAAGGAATATAAAAATTAGTTATGAAGTAGAGTCAATCGTGCAAAACTTTTTGGGTAGGTAACATACAAATTAATGGTTTATATTCTACAAGAAAATTTGTTGGCACGTAATTCTGTAAAATAAATTACAAATAACTTTTGAAGACCTTTAACCTTGTAACCAAAATAAATTTAATAAATGAAATTATAACGTATTTCATTAAAAAATACTTTTAATATGCCAAATTTTTTCCATTTACAAAGTTGCGGTCAAATGATCACATACCTTAATTAGAGGTAAATAGAAAATGCTGTAGTGCTAATGTTAAGGGACGATTCCTCGCATGTTTTGTCATACTAAAAACAATGTGACATCAAAAGAATTTACCTGACCCAGTATGGATCTGGTTGGTGTCCGCCGATAACATCGCGGCAAAAACATCGCAGACGAAAACGTGGCGGAGAAAACAACGCAAGGCGAAAACGTCGTGCTACAAAACATCGTGGGAGAAAACATCGCAAAGAGAAAACATCGCAGTTCTAAAACATCGTGGTACAAAACATCGTCGTCGTCGAAAATAAAGCGGTTCAAAAACTTCGCAGTTTTTAAAACATCGTCGTTGAAAATATCGTGGTAAAAAATGAAGTATCTACAAATCATCGCATGACGATAACATCGCAGGCCATTTTTTTTTTCAGGTTTTAATAATTGGAAATGGATATTCCCATAATGATTTGTGAGCGCAAGATGTAAAGAAGGATAATTTTTACTTTCACAATTTTTTAAATAACTAATAAATTTTTGCTGAAAAAGTAAGAAGGAAACTTAAGCATAGATAATTAAATTCAACTTATACTTTTCATGAAAAATTACCAGTAAAAGTATTACAAAAATTATTTATTAATGGCCTTTGTTAGTTAACTATGTCGGTTTAAAATTCCATTAAGTGCTATAAGTTGCATTAATTTTCTATGCTTAAAGTTTCCTTCTTATTTTCTCAGCAAAAATTTATTAGTTAATAAAAAATATGAAAGTAAAAATTATCCTTCTTTCCATCTTGCGCTCACAAACATTATGGGAATATAAATTTACAGTTATTAAAAGAATGTCTGCGAAAAGCATGTCTGAAAAAAGCATATCTGCGATGTTATCGTCATGCGACGATTTGTAGATACTTTATTTTTTACCACGACATTTTCGACGACGATGTTTTTAAACTGCGAAGTTTTTAAACCGCTTTATTTTCGCCGACGATGTTTTGTACCACGATGTTTTAGGACTGCGATGTTTTCTCTTTGCGATGTTTTCTCCCACGATGTTTTGTAGCACGACGTTTTTGCCTTGCGTTGTTTCCTCCGCGACGTTTTCGTCCGCGATGTTTTTGCCGCGATGTTTTCGACTGTAACCGATCTGTACATCATTTTCAAATTTGAATATGAACAAATGAAGCTCTCTGCGTATGGGAAAGAATATCTGTGTGAAGGAACTTCTAAACGAAACTGGCTGATATTCATGTTACACAAGGAAAAACGCAGGAAGGCCAGTCATTACAGAATCAGCTCGAATTAACGGTATTAAGATGTCTTAACTACTCAGCCAAGGGTGAAGGCCTATACTTAAGGGATAGCAATTTTGATTCACCAGGAGATATTCAAGTCACATCGCAGAGCGTTCTAGACACATTTCAGTTGAAAGCTCTGCATTAAACATTAAATCCATGAAACAATTAGGCATCAGCAAACTAATAACATTCAGAAAACTGAACCCTTCTGTTGTTGGCTTCAGTCAAAATTATTTAATTTTTACCCTATCTTTTTAAACAAAATTTTCAGTTTTGTCATTCAACTCTATATGTATGAAGCAAATTTTAGTTTCTACGATACCGAAACGATACCAGTTTATAGCTTTTTGTTATGCTAATAAAAATGTCTTTTTATCAAAATAAAAGCTATGTTACATTTAAAAGGCACAAACTGCATATTTTAACTTAACATTAGACTTACTTCTTTCTAATGTGCATCATAACCACTGTACTCTTTTTTTCACGCCAACGATTTGGTCGGTCAAATTACCTGTTTCCTATTTTGGTACCGCGCTGTGATGATTCCTAAAATAGTTGAAGCAATTTTCTTTATTATATTCTAGTTACAACAAAACTTAATCATACAAATTTTTCAATGACGGAACAATACTCATTATTTAAGTTACGAAAGAAATATTTTAACTTTGCTTGATGCCAAATCAGCCCAATTTATGCAGTTCTCTTTTTTCCAAATTTTGTATTTCTATACGAAAATATTTTCTACAAACAAACCAAAAGGATTCTTCTTCAGAAAAAGGAAACTATTATAAGTGATAAATTAACATTACATTGCATTGTAAACTATGTTCGAGACAAAAGAAGAGGTTGCATAAAAATTTCATTTTTTTTTTTTTTTTTTTTTTTTTTTTTTTTTTTTTTTGTCAGTAACTTTAATTCAAGTAAATTTCTCTTAAAATATCTTCCATGATGGCATCCTTCTTTTGATTGATAATTATCTGTTGTTTAGCCTGATCAGTTAACGTAATAGAGAGGAAACCATACCGAATACCAGGTCGAAATGAGGCCCAGTGCATCAAACCAACATGCACTGAAATTAAGTCTAGCTGAAAAGCAAAAGAAAAGTTTCCTGGAAGTGTGGTTGCAACCAAGGTTATACTAAAGGTCTGCTCTTTCGACTGAGCTGAATCAGCATGGTAACGTAGACGTCTTGTTTCAAAGCAAGATTTCTCGTTTCTCTCACTCCAAAGAGTAAAGTGACGTCATTGAGTATATAGATATGCTACGTCACTTTCTCGAGCGATGGAAAGAGAAACGTCTGAGCTTGAAAGAGCATTACCTCGTCTGTCTACTGATCTTGGGTGCAACGAACACCTTAATGACACAAAAGCAGGGAAAGAGGTTCTGAGGCTCTACTGATCTACTACTGAAGTATACATAAGCTAACAGCAATTTAAATTTTTACATATTATAAGAAAATAAAAATTCATAGGACTCATTTTATTGCAAAATTCTGTTTAGTATAATCGAATGATATTGCATTCTTCAATCTTAACCAATCTTATACTTAATCCCAGTATTAACATTGTTACGTTTATAATAGATGTAATCTCTTTCGAGTATAAGCTTGTTGTTAATATTTTACTGCATAAATCTATAGCTATATCTACATATATGTTAATAAAAACTTTTGAGGAGCTTCAAAAATTAGATTTTTGTCAAAAAGTCTCCTAACATTTACCGTGTCAGGTGGTAAAACACCGGAATAACTTCAAAGAAATTTAGAATTTCAACTCTTAGTAAGTGGTATCACTAAGGAAAAGGATTTATGTTTTACCCCTAGCAGAAATAAACATATATTTCCATTCTTATTAAGCACTGTTAACATAAGTCAAGGAAGCAAAAGGTATAAACCATCGCTTAAGAACTTCCTTCTCTGATACAATAAGTTATTTTACATTAAATTTATCATTCTGCATTTATAAATCTGGATAATTACAGATTTTTATTGAAAATAGGATATTTAAATATTTTGCTAGATATTTTCAATCTTTATGATTCAATATTGGTAACCAGTAGTAGTTTCTGGTAAATTTTAACTGTCTTCAAAATTTTAAAATATCACATTTACGAAAGTATTAAATTAACTTCCAAAACAAAATTTGATCATTCTGTATGGTGCATTGTTAGCATTTTCAACCTGAAGATAAATCTTTATTACGTACATTGATCTATAGTACATTTGGATGTCAATGTCTTCCTTACCGTAATTTAACATTCTTGATCTATAACTTTACCTTATCGGTTATATCATTATTAACATGCATTCCCATCAGTCTGAGCGCCACTCCTTATTTTTCTTCCTATTTTCATACATGTGCAAAATATCAGGCCCAAACATATTATATAAAATGCTTTTTTATGTATATTTAGTAAAACCTATGTATGCATAAATAATTCTTATTTATTGACTGACGTTTTAGGGTATATGGATAATGTCAAGTGTCTAAACAAACAAAAGGTGTCAATTCACACGAAATGCGAAAAAACACCGAGAACTTATGGGCTAAAAGACTTAACGAAGGAAGTTTGTGAGTGAGTATGATTTTTGATAAGTTTTATTATTACTTTACTAAATATAATTTTCTTATTACGTCTTTGAAAAATGTATTTGCAAGCAAAGAGTAATTGGAATTATAAGAAGGTGTATCTTAAAATGATGAACAAAATTCAAAGACGATAGGCCTCTTGTGTTAATGCACAATTTAACAGATAAATAGTAAAGCCCCTTGTTTTTGGTGCTAATATTTTATCAGCTGCAATTGCAGGAGCAAGATATTCCCAAACTTGAAATTAGTTTCCTCATAAATAAATAGTTTTAAGTTTTTCTTATACTTTCTATAACATTCTGGTAAGCAAATGTAACTAATTAAACAAGATTATAAACTATGAAAAAACATAATTTTCAATATGCCGAATATCTGACATTTCGCTTACGTGAACGATTATTCCACATAAAGATTGCATTACTGAATAAATTTGTATGCTTGAATTCCTCCAGTAATAATAAATCTAGGTATAATGTGTAAAACTCATTTGAGTTCAGCTTTCATAAGCTGCTTTATAATGAATAAAAGCAGAAAATTGTCTTGATGCAAAAAAAAAAAAAAAAAAGATTGCATAACAGTTTAAACTTTAAACACACTTTCTGATTAGTGATGATATCAAAAGGAAAGGAAATTGAATTTGGTAGAATATTTGAATACGATTTCTGTGCACATTAGCATTTTATACTAAATGCCTATCCTTCAGATTAGCAATTAGTATAAAATGCTAAGCTGAGTGATAGGCCTCTTTATATCCGTGATATAATTCACATGAAGTTAGCTTCCTAATTATTTAGGAAACAGATTAACTTTAGAAATATTACAAGGATTGGATAAAAGTAGTGGGTTATCAGTAGTCCTAAAATCGGCTTTATTATTATGGGTATAAGAATTTAAAATTCCTGATTACAGTCGCCTGCCATGTCTGCCACCTTCTTGAAGGTGACTATATTGATGGATTGTAAGTACTTGTACCTGCTGTAATATTTTTCAGAAGTATCGACATATTACCACTGTTTTTTATCCAACTCTTACATTTATATCCGTTATTATTAATTATACATTTGTCATTTGTGGTTAGAGAAGTGCGACGAATTTTCTTAATTCCATAATATTTCAGAGGAGAATTAAAAATGAAAAATTGAAATCTGTTGTTCAGGTTAGCATAATTATCGGCTCTTTATGATTGGATATACTTTCTCTGAATATCGGTAGAAATATTATAGTTAGTGAAAGATTGCGCAGATCTTCTTTCCACGTGTCGAAACAAGAATGTTTTTTTATTCACTCTGTTAAAACAAATCATGCAAACTCTATTTGCCTAAGGAAGGAAAGGCCTTCGTGTAGATTTTTCAAAAAGAAATTTTCTGATATTCACGTTTCATGTGCTGGAAACATCCATGAAGTCAGCCCATTTGTCTGGACTTAACCTAAATCAAATTACAAATGTTTGTCAATCTTATGGATTCGATCGCAGGTGAGCCCTAAATGAGACTTAATAGCAACGGTTTTTCCCGGGCTGGAAGGCTCTGTACAAATATTTTTCTTTTCATTAAAGTTTCCCTTCCTGTTTTCATTTTCAACACACTTTCAATTCCACATCACCATTTGCAGGTAAATCTGGGTCAGTTATTCTTAAATTTTATGAATAGTTAGGATTTTGACATCTTTCTTGATTCGTGTCACAATTTTTGCTCAGACGAGAAAGTTATGCAAATTTAAAGGCATGTAGCATAAATTAAAATTAGGAATTAAACCTTAACTGCAGCCTATACAAATGTTCGCCATATCGCCACTACCTCACTGAAAGCTAACTCCTGCTGAATCCGTAGAAGGTCAATAATTAGATAGTGGTTGTGTTGTTGGTCAAGGTGTTCAAGCTGTGGTATACAAGACCAGAGATTTAATTTTGAATTGAAATGTTTTTTAAGATCTGAACTTTAGCTAGAAAATATAGAAATACCAAAAATATAGAACCAAAAATATAGAATGTTGTGTCACTGTATTGAATAATATCATTTATATTTCTTAATTTCGAAAGTGAAAGTGATATGGTTACCGGTTTCTTAATTCACATTCAATAAATGACGCCTATTTTCAGCGGCTGAATTTTGTGAGTAAGATTATTTTTATAATCGGTTGTCTTCCAGACTATGCAAAAGCTTATTCAAATATGAAAAATGGTTTTGTGACCGGCTAATAGATGGTTTTTATAGTCAGACTAGCATTTAGTTGCATAAGTACCATTTGGTTGTTGTTTTAAAATAGGTTACGTTAATATTGAATCTTCATAATGTTTCGTAAACTACTTAAAATATTATTAATTAAATTAACACAACTTACTCAAACATGCTACTTTCAGTTAAACAGCAGAAACGCTCCAGCATCATGCTTTTTTTACGGTTTCGCATGTGAAAATTTTTAAATACAATTTTACTTCCTCATGCGAAGTAAAAAATATATTGTAATCGCAGAACATTTCGGCTGTCATATTTCAAGGGAAATATTCATTTTGACCGGTTCCGAATGCATAAGGGATAATTTTCGAGACTTCTATGCGTACAGATATCACGAACTACGTACACAAATATGTATCTTCCATAACTCAAAAGCGATTAGCCATAGAAAGTTGAAATTTCGTAAATGGGACTGCTATATCATCTAGTTGTTCAGTTGTTCACTTCCCTTTTATGCTGCAATCGGGAATACCATGTATTAACTAAACTCGGCGGCACAAACAGCCCTTAGAGAGACATGGACGGCAGTGTCCTAATATCTGCTTTCTATACCTTGAGCTGGGGGTGTTTGTGCATTTTAACCTGGACAAGTGGCCAACTTGTCGCAGGATCCCCCCGGTGTTTAGTCCCCAAGAGAACTTGGTACTCATTTATCGAATCACTCAAGGGATGAAAGGCTGAGACAAACCTGCCCAGCCCGGGATCGAACTCCGGATCCCTGGTGCTGCTGTATATATATATATATATATACCCACTCTCCAACCTGGTTTAAAGTCCTTATCAGCTCTTTATTTTCGTGATCGTTGGTCATAGTCACATGCTTCCAGTTACAGAAGTGCTTTAAATGCCAAAATTATTTTAATGGCAAAGTCAGATTTTTTTTTTTTTAAATTATTTTCGACAAATATCGAAATCTAACTCTTAATGCAGTCTACTGTTTCCTATAATTATATTTCGGAATGTTTTTATTCCCGTTATGAAAAAATATATATATAAGAAGTTTGACTCCCGTAAGACAAAAATGAACCGGGATATTTAATCTCAAAATTTGGACTTTTTTTATGTCATTTTCGATATGCCGGGAGGAATCGGTTTTTCGAATTAGAATAATTCGAGGTAATAAATTTAAATGAAGTGCAGCAAAAATGCGTATAATTTAATAGGACGTACGTGGTAGTCATAGGATGTCCACATCTGATTTTCTTAAAGCAAACTTAGCATATTTCAAAGGTTTTAAGAAAAATATTGCTATTTTTCAGTACAGCTATATTTTTTTCCAGAAATACAGTATTTGCAGGGAAGAGGCTGAAAACATAAAACATTTTAATTCATTACATTACATAAAGGCCGCAATTGGTGTAAGAATCGCATTTAAATCTTCTCTGAGACTAGTTGAAATCGATGCTTTAAAATGCAAATATATTATAATATTATAATCATGCATAGTAAAGCTATATAATAATATTATCATACATAGTATAAATATATGCTAAACAATGTATGCTTTAAATATTGTTGACTGTACTAGTTACATACAAATACAGAATAATTATTATTCATAATATTTTCTTATTATCTTGCATTTACTATTCAGTTTTAGCCCATCGAAAAACAAACGTGATTAAATGAACTTGTTTTCTTGAAGTTTATGACTAAATATTAAGCATTTTGATCACTGCAAGATGTTCACAAATTAATAAATTATCACAATGTGCTATGAAGGTCACTAAGGCTGTTGTAATAATGTTACAAAATGCAATTTAAAATTTAAATAACTGTTCCTGAAAATGATAAACACGTCGTTTATTGCTTGAAGTGTACTGAGTCCTTTTTTATTTCGGGTAAAGGCAAACATTATATTTGCTAGTTAATTGAAATCTGAGTTTTCATACATATTTTCGTCAGTAATGTATTTCAAGTAACGCATTTGATGTTTAAGTAGATTCAAGCTAATTATATGCAACATTTATAATTTTTAATGTTTGCTGCCGAAGATGATGTAATAACGTATAAATGATTTTCTGAAAATAAATTTGTTTCTTTTCCTAGGATTGACAAAAGAAGGGTGGAATGCACTTTCGAAGAAATCAGCAAGAATTGTGGGAATGAAGCTTTAAAGCTGGTGAAACTAATAATGCTCTCGTATACTAAACCGGTGGAGAAAGCCTGTAGTAAATTCGAGCTTTGAGACAAGCACAGAAAATGCAGTATCCTGTATCAGCTGAATTTCATTAAAGCAAATTAATTGATTTATAATCGATACAAATGTAAACATCTGGCTTTAAGTTTTCTTATAAATTATTTTCTGTAAATTATTAGACAATTTTTTATCATTTCTTTATTGTCGTGTTAGACCTACGCATCTCAAATAAATTCAACATTAACTAATTCGCGCTACGTTTACATTATGTATTGGATATACTATGAACGGGTGATTCAGTCCACGAACAGATAGATGATTCAGTCCACTAATACATGGGTTTGGGAAGTGTTTGTAATTCTGTGATATAAGACTGATAAATACGATTAACTAATAATAATTTATCATTATACTAATACACGAGCCGAAAACAAATATACTAAATTGCATGTGATGACTTCATGGTTTAATAAGGCACCATTTAGCAAGACGAAACAAACATTTATTAAATATATAATTCAAAGCATAATATAATAGTCACTCAGAGCAGTACGTCGCTCCTACCGCATAGTACAATCTACTACCTTCCTCTTCCGAGGCTAACATGCAACTCCTAATAAATACATTAACCCTTCTCGAAGAAGAGCTACCTGCGCCAAGCATGCTCTGTTGATCGCCAAACAGTCGCCAGATATCACACCCCCGTCGTAAGATTGTTGTTGATATTATTTACAAATCAATCAGCAATCTGGAAACTAAAATCTAGCAACTGTTTGCGATCAACGTGAAAAAGAAAAAAAAAACTACATATACTTTTATACATTCTCTCCTAATTTTCAAATCTCAATTACTATAGACATACCTCAATTTACTACATAAACCTAGATAACACATTTTTTATATATAAACATAGATAAATCATTTTTAACTTCACTTGTTCCGAACCTTATTATTATTGTAACAATTTATCAATTCTTAATTCAAAGAAACCAAGTTGATATTTTCTTTTATAAACATGTTAAAATATACCCTAGTATTATTCCAATGATGACAGTAAAATTATTAAGTTTCTTATATATATATAAAATTATATTCTTAACATTCCTTTTAATTAATGATGCTGCAGCATGATTTAAATCCTTGGGAGACAAATATCTAAATTTACCACTTACCTCGAATATTTGTTATCCAATAATTTCTCTATCTATTTCAAATTACATAAACATCTTATTTGCACAAAATTGTAAAATTGATTAATGAAAAGCAAAGAAACTACTCTAATTCATTAACTATACAAAATGTTCGTGAAGATGAACAGTAAATTAATGTTCAAAGTTCACAAGTGGGGAAGTCTGGATAATGCATCCGCGTTTGACAGTTTTTTTCCAGGGCAATGTTCTATTTCGAGATTATATTTCTGCAAAGCTATGGCCCATCGCTTGTAATTTGATGCGATTGCAATTTGAACGATTGCGGAGCATTTCTCACTATAAAGGCTAGAGGATTATGATCAGTCACAATTTTCACCGATGAACCGAATATCCAAGGTTCAAACTTCTTCAATGCCCATACTATAGCATAAGCTTCACGCTCTATAGTCGGCCAGCTCTGTTGAGGTTTCGATAATTTCTTGCTCGCGTAGCAGATGGGAAATTGCTTCTCTCCCCTTTGCTGTGACAAACATGCACCTATTCCGATTTGGGATGCATCAGAATGAATGACAAACGGATGCTGCAGTGTTGGGGTGATCAGCTCCGTTGACATCGCTAATCGTTCCTTCAGTTGTTGAAATGTTGACTCATGAATTTCTTTCCATTCGAGTATTTTCCGGTTGTTTATTTTTCGTGAAGTTCTGTGAGTGGGTAGGCGATCTCTGCCATACCCTGGGATATAATCGCGATAATAATTACATAGTCCTAACAGACTTTTAAGATCTCTTTTCGTTTTCGGCGTTTCCAGCTTCTTGATTGCCTCTATTTTCTCGGGATCTGGTTGATGTTTTCCTGATCCAATGATGTGTCCTAAATATTTAATTTGAGGTTTTGCAAACGAAAACTTTCTTCGAATTGATAGTAAATCCAAGTGACTCTAGTTTGGTAAAAACTTTATCCAGTTGTCGGAGATGAGTGTCGAAATCCGTGGAAAATATAGCTATGTCATCAATATAGGCTCTTGAAAATTGTTGAAATTCTTTCAGCGCGTTATTCATTACTCTCTGAAAAGTTGCTGCTGCGTTCCTTAATCCAAAGGGTAGCACTTTAAACTGATATTGACCTCGATGAGTTTTGAACGATGTGTACTCTTTACTTTGTTCCTCCATGGGAATTGCCCAATATCCTTTCAGCAAATCTAAAGTTGTTATGACGTTGGCTCTTCCTATACTGTACATTAAATCAATGGCGTTTGCATAGGAAAGTCATCTGGCTTCGTCACTGCATTCAAAGCTCGATAATCTAAAGCACAATCTGATATCTCCATTTTTTTTGCTTACACAAACTACTGGATGAGCTATTTCTGCATTACTTTCTTCTATTAGTCCCGATTTCAATAATTCTTCTACTTCTTCATCGACCTTGGGTTTTCAATGCTTCAGGAATCCTATAAATGTAAGGTTTCTTCCTCTCCATATTGGGTATTAATCTAATTTTATGAGCTTCAACTTTAGCTATTTTCAGCTTTCCGGTGAATAGTGCTCGGTGTTTGTTGATAAGAGCTATCAATTTTCTTCTCTGCTGCCGGATTCAAATTTTCTAAATTCAGATTTGCATCTATTTTAAAATCTTCCGGGGCGGGGGTCGAGAGATCTTTTCCTGGCAAAGTTATAATTTCTCCCAAATTCTTCTTCATTTTCAAATATCACTCCAACTGCATTGACACTAGCTTGGAATTTCTAATTTTATTTGCATGAACATGTTTGATCTTTCCATCAGGTAGTTTTACTTTATAGGAATGAGGTGGGCAATGATTCACGATTTCTCCTGGACCAGTCCATCGTGCATAGAGTTTGTTATTTGAATCTGGTATGAGTAAATAAACTTGTTCTCCGATTTTGAAATTTTTTGGTATTGTTCTCCGATTAAAGTACTCAGCATATTTTTGTTGTTTATTCACTTGCAATTAAATTGGCTTGTTCGGCTGCTTGTTCTAACCTTTATTTTTAAAAGTTGTAAGTAATCCCACTGCCGATTCACTTAGATTAGGTGGTATATGTATTTCTCTTGACCATGAAGACTTCAGTACTGCTAAAGGACCTCTTGGTTGTCTTCCATACATCAGCTGAAATGGTGAGACACCCGTGGTGCAGTTTGGTACTTCTCTGTATGCAAAGAGCAGGTAGGGGATGTGCTTATCCCAATTCGAAGGATCAGTCCTGATGACATGATGTAACATTTGCTTGAAGGACTTGTTCCATCTTTCTACTAATCCATTTGAAGCACTGTAAGCAGGTGTAGAGAACCTAGGGTGAGAACCTAGTCTTTTCTGGAATTCTTTAGTTAATTTTGAAACGAAGTTACTTCCGTTGTCACTAGCTATTGTATTAGGGATTCCTGTTCTCATGAAAATCTCCAAAAGCGCGTCGCAAGTGGCTCTTGCTGTCAAGCTTCTCAGTGGAATGGCTTCTGGCCATCGGGAATGTTGATCTACCAGACATAACACATATTTATGTTTCCTAGCAGAGGAAGGTTCAATAGTCCAATAATGTCGATGATGTTAACTGTTTCGAATGGTAATCCTGGCATTCTGACCGGTGTGATGGGAATCTTGTCAGATCGCTTTTCTGGACTTTAAACTGACAATCTTTGCACGTTTTACAAAAGGTTTCAACATCTTGTGCTAATCCAGGCCAATAAAATGAATATCGTATTCGCTCCTTTGTTTTTCTTATCCCAAGATGTGCACCGAAAATGGAACTATGTGCTAATTCCAACACTTGTGCTCTTCTACTAAGTGGAAGCACTAACTGAAAAACATTCTGTCCTAATATTTTTTCTTGGTGATGTAAAAGATGATCAATAAATAAATAATTTCCTTTTTTTTCTATTGCTAGCTTCCATGCTTCTCTCAGCGAGGAACAGTTAAGCTTGCTCTTCGCGTAGGACGTTCAGCAGACGATAAGTCTGTGTTTACATAAACACTCGCCTTCTCCCCTTCCTCCTCTTCGTTTTTCTTCTCCTCATAAGCATTAGCGGGGGGGGGGGAAGTCGACGCTGTCGTTTGACTGTTGCATTGGCGAATAAAGTTTGTAAGTTTTCGCTTCCGTAATTATTTCTTTCTGCGCTTGGATTCTTCTGCCAGGATTAATCAACATCACCTCATTCTCACAACTCCTACCACATCAGACTTACTACTGATGTGCCTTAGGCATCTCTTCAAGAGCTGGTAACAGCGCGCTTTGCATTACCCCAGCAATAATTGTTTGGATCTGATCGAACAGTTGGTGTATTTCTGGAGTTATTAGGCAAGGCACATTTAGTTTTATCAGTCACTGCAATTAATGTATCCACAAAATTAAATACATTGCTTCCATGATCTTTATGGTAAATAGGTACACGGCAAACTTTTGCTTCAATTGGTTGTCCGAAAGCAGGTGTTAGCAATATTTTACCTCCTTCTCTCTCCTCTAAATTTGGAATGAGCGATGAATGTACGATCGTTATCTGCGTTCCAGAGTCTACGATAGCTTCGATTTTCTCAGAGTTAATAAAAATATCTACTTTTTGCAGTGGTTGAACGATGCGTTCTGCGAATTCAGATCGTAGATGGGATGAGTCTACTTTAGCTACGATGGCTTCTTCTTTTGATGTTCTGTTTCAATTTTTTTGAGTTTTGGAATCATCCTTTCCCTTCTTATTTACTGCAGTTTCGTTCTTTCTTCTTTTGTCTGGGCAATCTCTCGCGATGTGTTGATAATTTCCACAAATATAACATTCTTTTCTTCTCGCGTGAAATCTTTCGTGTTTTGGATATTCTTTTCTCATGGGGTGGTGAATATATTTGTCGTGTGCACATGTTGTATCCAGGAATCTCGGTGATCGCTTAATTCCATTTCGAAACTTCGTAGAAATATTTTCCTTTGGCCGTGAAATAAATATCACATTCTGTAGCTAATTCTTGAGGCTTCAGCCATTTATTTCCTTGGCGTATTGCGACGTGTGCAGCTGTTTCTTCATCTAA